ATACAACTCATTTTTTAATCATCAAAACCATGTCTCTACTTGTGTACTGCGCCATTATTTTTGAGTTTATTTCGACTGCGACACGGCGCTATCGCCGCTTCAACACGCCAAATGTGCCGCGAAAAAACACCGCATGGGATGATGGGATACTGCTACCCACGCCGCGTCCGCCATCTTTGTTTACTTCCCTGAACGCTAATGCGAGAGATCCCCGTCAACTATCGCAAATTTCCATGTAACCTACGGACATCGTGAGCTAAAAAGTCATTAACATTGAAATGAACAGTTTATTGTTGCATTCGTTACGATAATTTTCGTGTGCTAGCCGGAGTTTCTGAAAATTAAGCGATCGCGAAGCGATCCTTTGTGAATTGTGCTATCGACTGCTTTCATGACGATCGTCTGCATTTTTGTCTGTACGCTACTTGATTGAAGTTTTCCGTTAATCAAACTTTATTTTTTGCTACTTTCGTGATGTAAAAGTACGTACAGGCTGATGATTGTGCATGTATTCGTTGCTTGTTTTGTACGTAGCAAACGTAGCATAATTTGTTTATTCGTTCGAGTAGAGCCTGCCGATAGCACATGATATCTAACGTATCGCGGCGTTCTTCCAGTCTTGGAAAAAACGAAAAAAATACGTGTGTACGTCAACGAAAAAAATTAAAAGCAAATTTACCGATCTCAATAAAGTTCACTGTTTTTAATGCGTAAATGTGACTCGTGTTTGTATTCTTTGTGTCGTTATGTGTTCGATGCCCTGTCCACCCCCCACCCCCATAGTTTCAATGAAGGCCGAGAGTTTGAGCCTCAGAGTCTCTTAATCGGAAAGGCCGGGTATTTGAAAAAAATGTGCTGACAAATTGGCTTTTCAAATAAGCGGCTTCTACTGTATAACGAGCTCAAGTCTGCACTAAAAAGGATTTTTAAAAGATGTATGAAACATTGTAATACAGTTAGTCTCAGTGTCAATGGTAAAAGGACAGTTGAAATTTTGAACCCCACCTGTTCCCTGTTCCTGAGGTTGATGGCAAGGTCAGAGGTCACAGGGATGTCCAGGTTGTGATACTGTGGGGGAAACATAGAAATGTTCATACTAGTACACTGTATATCAGTAGAGCATGGAACAAAGTACATGCATCCATGAGTACAAGCTACATTGTACAAGGTCTTCTGTACTGTGATTCCCAGGCTCAACTTAAAGTTGTCAGGCATTGTACAGAAGCAGGCATTCATATTTCTATGTTGACCAATCCTATAATTCAAGAGCATGACATACAAGTATACAAAGATAACAATCACATTCAAAAGAAAACAGCTCTACCTGTGCCTTGTTCCCCCTCCTGGTCATCAGGACAAAGTTAACGGTATCAGTCGGACTCTCAGGTTTGGGCTCAATCGGAGCTACAGGAAGAAGAATAAGTTAACACAGCAGTCAACAAACTGTTATCTCTAGCACATACATGTATTACATCTGACAGATAACAACATTATACTAGACTAAGAAGAAATCTTGTTGTGTTATATACTAAATGACAGAATACAATGTATACTCAATAGAGGTCTTCTACACAATCATGTACTGTACCTGCTTTAGCCTTGACTTTCATGTTCTGTGGAATGGCAATGTCCAAGGTAGGAACCTTCACAGTCTCAGTACTGCGGTGCTGTAAGTAAAGAGACAGTGAGACAGAGCGTATGGTACAAAAGAAATGTCATGTATCTACAATGTACATGTATCTGTTGGAGAAGACTAACAACAGAAAGATGTAGGCGCCACAGACTTTCTGCAACCTAGTATGATCCACTGCTCACCAAGTCATGTGCGTCACAGAAGCAGTGATTGCTCATTCCTTGACAAAGACTGGAGTTGTAAAGTCAAAAATTTGGGTACCCCAGTAAGTCCAATTTCGTGAGTTGGAAATTACAGTGAAACTTGCTTTATAACTTATGAAAGGACTTTAGGCAATGAACTACTATCAACACTTCATCTGGATATTACGTATGATGTATGATTAATACACACACGTAAAGTGTAAAAGGAATACTGAGATCAAACAACAAAATACATGTATCTACTGTAATTCCTGCTTTTTCAATGTACTGTTATGTTCACTGTTTCACTGTCACTTCTGTACTGTGAACTTATCATTTAATTCACAGTTAACAAATAATTCCTGCACCTGTTACCACCGTGAATATATTTCCGTGAACATGTCCATTTTTCTCAGATTGTGAACTTTTGCTTTCGTGAACATAAAGTGAATTACAGTATCTAAGTGATTTTTTATAGTAAAAATTATACCAAGAACAAGAAGACAGTAGGCTTTACCTGGATGTTTTCAGCGAGCATCTTGTCGAAAGCTGACATGAAGTCCTCATCCTCAGCACACTTGACCAGTTTGGGTCCCCCCATGAGCAGCGTCACCTCATCATCATCCTCTGTCTCCCCGGCAGAGTCCAACATCTCATCTTCCTCCTCTTCTTCCTCCTCTTCATCATCGTAGTCTCCCTGCAACATGGGTGTGCTGTGATGTTTTAGGAGTACGTTGGCAAAACATACTGTGCCTGTATTGTGTTTAGCACTGTGGAAGAGCATCTGGTTTAAGGTTGTATTTGAGCATTTTTTAAGGGTGACATGCTGTGTATAGTTTTCAAATGTTGTGTTGGATATTGTCTGCAATGGGCAAAATTTCTGATGCAATGTTGATGACAAGATATCCAATGAAAACAGAGAAATATGTGTTTCGTGCAGGCACAGTACATTTGCTGAAGTGCTTGTTTTAGGTCTTGCCTGCTTCATAATATTATGCAATGAGGCCTCCTGACATTTTCTTTGATTCAAGTCCCGAAAATGGCACACACATGTACTAGCAGTGAAAGTCTGAGTACAAACTGCAAGTGTTAGAAAGTCTTTTGGCACAACCAGACAAAATCTCCATGCATTTTATGTCTCCCAGCAAACAGCAGTTGGTCACCTTCACAACACAGGTGCCTGCTGTTAAACCAGTATAGCAACAAAGTTCAGTAACTCCATTCTTTTTCTTTACATCTCTCTATCCACATGCATGCTACAGTTCACACATACATGTATATAGCATTCCAAAAACATTGGTAGAAAAGTTACATTGTCAATATTTCCCCACTACTGAAACTGCAATACATTCAGTTAGATTGACTTCTCCTCTGGTGCTGTTGTTAGGGAATGATGAAGGTTAATCACACACAGTGCACATGCTGAGAAAAGTCAGGCCCTGGCTGTTGCTATAGCAACCTTCTCGTCCTCGCCCGTCTCCCACATGGAGTCCAGCGATCCGTCATCATCGCTGTCATCTTCAGAGTACACCTGGTGGAGTAGAGGTCTTCGTTACAGGTACATGTACCTACTACGTATACATACATAGATGTGGCATGAAATGCTCAGGCTCAACTAGCTACTTCTCTGTTTATTCTTACTCAAACATATATGATGACCAGCCTCTCCAACTGTCTTGCTACATAATGTAACCCAACACCACAGAGTGTCTGCTACAGCACCAGTTACCATGGTGACAGACGTCTGGTCCTTTTTTGTTTGGAGAAGAAGAAGAAGAAACAGAGCAAATGCAATATGCATTCCTTTTTCAATGCTCCTGAGCTCAAGAGCACCAAGGCAACACTAGGCCTAGGAAAAAAAAGTTGTGTTTCCTGTTTCCGGACCGACCATAGAAAAAAGTGCCGACCCTAGCCTTTTTTTTTTTGTGGATTCCTAACTCCATGATCTGACACCTGAGTGATGAAATGTACAATCAGTTTTCCAACATTGACATTGAAAATAGAGGTGTGCTCATGCAAGTTTTATGTTGTTAAACTGTATTGTATAAGTTGGATCACTAGAGATTGCCAAAGTCTAAAAAAAGGTAATTCCTACCTACTAACTCTAATTTTTTTAGGACTGAAACAGGAAACACAACAATTTTTTTTGTAGACCCTATCCCAATAAGTCACACATTTAAAAACTGGAGCTAGTCTGTTTCTGTCATGCATTCTCCTTCCTTTCTTCACCTTGTTCCATTGAAAGCAGATGTAGAAGCACATTACCTCCTCCCCAGCCTCATCAGCGTGGTCCAGCCCGGTGTGGTGCTGACTCTGACTCTGACTCTCCGTCTGACTGCCGCTCTGACTGCCGTCCTGCTCGTACGCCATCTCCTCCTGGTCACTCCCCTCATAGTCATCCACCTCCTGGATGGACAGGGCTCCCACGTGCTGCGACAGGTCAACTACAGGGTGATAGATACATAACGTTTAGATTTATCGGTTCCATGTTTGTTTCCAAGTCCAAGTACCCAAGGCCTAGGGAAAAAATTGTTGTGTTTCCTGTGTCAGTCCCAAAAAAATTTGGGTCGGAAGGTAGGGATTTTTTTTCTTTCTTTTTTTAGAATTTGGCGATCTTTAGAGATCCAACTTTTACAACTCAGTTTGACAAAGGAAAACTTGTGGAAACTTCTATTTTCAATGTTAATGTTGGAAAACCGATTATACAATATTTCATCACTCAGGTGTAAGATCATGGTGCTAGAAAAGGTCAATCAGCTAGAAAAATTCATGTCCCTTAGGCCACACCAATTTAATTTCTTGGTTAACGGATTTTTCTAGAAAAATAATGGAGCGGGCGGGTGAAAAAAAAAAAACAGGCCTAGGCATCCTATTATGGCCCAAAATGGTACGATAGGAGCCATGAACTCAACAGACCAGGCTGGTTCAAAATTTAAACAATGAATTTTGAACTTTTAATGATACCACTGCATTAAAAGATGGAATAACTGTAACAACTAGGAAGAAAAGGACTGTTTTCAACTGTTCAGGGCAAAATATGAGCATTTTGCAGTTGATTCTGAATTTTTTTTTTTGTTGCAAATCAGAAAAAATGACGAGGCGAATCCGTTAACCAAGAAATTAAATTGGTGTGGCCTTACAGGGATCTACAAAAAAAAAAGGCTAGGGTCATCAGTTTTTTCTAGGTCAGTCAGGAAACACAACTTTTTTTTCTAGGCCCAAGAACATACATGTACATGTACATGTATGTTCTACTTAAGATTTGTTTTTCAATTAGCATGTTCACAAGGGAATTCTTGAATAACTGTTACAAATAGCACATCTTGTGTTAAGAATCTATAGCTAGGGGTTGTCATGATACCTTGCGGAGTGGGTTCTGCTCCCTCCTCCCCCTCAGCAATAGTGGTTAGTCCCTCCTGAGTTGTGACAGGCTGCTGTACCTCTGGCTGCCCTGGGAGAGCTGTGAAGTCAAAGGAAATAAAAATACATGTATTCCACATTCAAACACATACACCAACAACGTAAATGTAAACTACATGATTGTACAACACTGCAAACTCAAAAGGTCTTCCTGACAAAATTTATAATCTGTCCTTTCCTAGTCAAGAACCTCGAAAACATATCAAAGATGAAATTCCAGCATCTAACAGTCCACAAAAATCAAAATCACAAGCAGGTAGAATTCTTCCACAACTTTTCCCTTTACTTAACTACCATACATTGCCTTGTAATGCCTTGTAAAACAAGGGAGCCTTCTTGCAAACAAAGTACTGTAAATCACTACTTTTTTGCGACGGTCTTATATTCATGGTTTTTGCTGTCACTTATCATTACCGTGAACAAATAATTTGCCGACTTTCTTTTTGCTGCACCTGCTGCCACTGTGAACATGTCCCTTTTTCTCAGATCGCAAACTTTTGCTATCGCGAAGATTAAGTGACTTACAGTAACTTGAAAAAGTATTTTAGACAGTCTTGACAACCCTAGTACTCACAGTACTTATTCCTGTACTCCTGTTCTAACTCCTCCACAGCCTTCACAGCCTCCTCCTGACTGGTGCTGAGGTTCAGTTTGGGTCTGAGGGTCTCCACAGTGTCGGACACCATGAAGTCCACCTCTATAGGGAAGGGATGGGCCTCTGTCCAGGTAGGGTGGGACTTCTTCACCCAGATGTACCGCTGAAATCAAACAGTACAAGAACATAGGTTTCTCGACAGTCTACAGATGTACATGTACTGGAATTTCTTGCATCAATGTGATAATACATTTTGTAGCAGCATGCTGGAAGAACTTACTGCAACTAGGTATAACCAGTAAACATATTGTACATAGCAGAACATCTTGTTTAAGGTCATCTTCTCGCATTTAAAGATGGCAACTACTCGATAGTTTTCAAATGTTGTGTCAGAAAAGATATTGTCACTCAAAATTCTTATGCAATGTTGACCAAATATCACAAAAAACATGGAAAAATCTGGGTTTCACGTAGATCCAATGCTTGTTGACCGAAGACGTGTTGCCATAATTAAATACATCTCTGTTTTACATAAAGATAGAACATATTTGGTGAATGGGATGTTGTGAGGTATGCAGACACCAGTACATTACACAAGTTTGTATCATGATGTTATTCTCCTAGCCTGGACCAGTAATTTTTGAAGTTAGTCTTGAAACCACCACATACTGACTTTTCAGCGTTTGTAAGATGATGTTAGTGTTTGGACCTGACTTTTTTCAGCCCTAGTACCTGGAAGTAGATGAGGAAACAGTCCAGTTTCCTCTTGCTGGATCCCCTGTCGAAGTACTGCCCACACGTGTCCAGCAGCACACACACCAGTCTGATCCGGAACATGTGCTCAGGGGGGTCCAGGGGGGATGGCACGGCAGCTACAGGGGGTAGTACATCACAGATGAACCAGGGCTTGAAATTCAATTCAATTTTGGGAATAGGTGCACTAGTGCAAAATGGGGTGCACATAAAAATTTTTGTGTGCACCGTATAAAATAAAATAAGTAGAAATACTAGAATGCCAGCAAATCTAATCATGTTTCATTTCTGAAGAAAAGTAATACAGCATTTTTCAATCATTTTTCTGACACTAAGATGTTAAGGATATGTTTAACATCTTTACATCTCTCAAAAGACTTTTCTCCACACCAGTTATGGTGCTGGTACTCAACTATTGACAATTACCTGCACAAGACCAATTTTACCCATACCACTAAGAATTTACAAAGTATGGATCATACTACAAACTGCAAAAACATTGCAGCCACAATTTCCTTTATACTTGAACTTGAACTTACAATCTAAGGAGACTCCAAACGTGATGAAGGAGTAGAGAGTCTTAAAGATGACTGCAGACTCCACCAGACGGTAGTTGTACAGCTCACCCAGGTACTTAGCTGCACTGACACGCCGCTGGTTGTACTTTGGGTCGTTAATCTATCAAACAAAATCAACCATCAGTGACAGAAAATGCCTCGTGTGTCGGAAGACACGGGAGCCCCTAACTTAAGTCTAAGTAAGACAGAAAAGGTCTCATCTATTGCAGTGACACCTGTGCTACAGTGCAATGTGAACCAGTCAGAATTGCCCTGAGGAAGGTGACAGACGGTCACTGAAACATTGACTGAATAAGCCTCCTGGTTGTGTAAAAAAGAGTCTCTTTATTCAGAAAATATCTGCTACAAAGGGAAAATGACAATGTCAAATAGCAAATCTACAAATCTACCAAGACATTGTAATTCTACCAGCATTTGAGCTCAACAGAAAAATACAAAACACAAAACTGACCTCCATTCCAAGTCGGATTTCTTCCAGAATGCCATCAACTATCAGGATCCCAACATTCTCCTAAAGTTGTATAAAGATGGTACAAGTTAACAAGCAAGGAATAAATATCAAAATAGACTGCTGATAACTGGGCATATCAAATTCTAAATACATGTACCTCTGATCATAATCAATTTAGGCCTTCTTAAGTTATGCTGACCACAGGAAAGACAGACACACATACAGATACACATGCACACAAACACACACAGACCAAAACAATACATCCATTTTTCATGGACGTAAAAAAACATCTTACAAAGTGGAGTTAAGAAAACCCATATCTGACCTGGTATGGGACCAGTCCAGCCAGCATGTTGGCCACACAGTGGACGTTGTTGTACTTGACATTCCAGACACGAGTCAGACTTTTGATGGCGTACCTGCATGTCTGTTACAGACACCAAATACAGATAAGTCTTCTTCCTACTGCCTAACTTCCTAACCAACAAAAAATTCATAGCAAAATACCTATTTCAGTGTGCTAAAGGTTAGACAGTTTCATGTAACTGGATTGTGGTTGTCTTAAAGCTATGACATTGTAGGTTTATTGTTCTATATTCTGTAAGATTGTCATGTAAAAATATTACTTTAAACATTACTTACATCTTCCTCCTGCCAATTCAGCTTTCTCATCTGTCTCAACACCTAAGATAAAATAAAGACAAGAAGAGAACTACATGACCACCTTGTTCTCTTGGGATTTTAGCATCCCAGATGAAGCATATGCATGTCATCAGTATCAAAACAACATACAATACTAGCTTCTAACAGTGTACCTTTTCTGTGGTGATTTTGGACAGGTCTTTGTACAGTAGCTTCCTGATGTACTCGTGCATGGGTGGTCGAACCTTCACAGGAGTCTGTGAAAAAATTAACTCAGGTTTGATAAACTGTGAAACAATAAATGTTGGAGGCAAATAGTTATGAAATTAAAAAGGTAACATTTGAAAGCAAATGCAAAATGTTTACCTTCACACTTTACCTAGACCAGCTCAACAAACTACTGCTCTGTTTATTCTTACTCAAACACATTCAAATATATGGTAACCAGCCCCTCCAACTCTGTCCTGCTACTTGCTACACTGTAATATATACATGTAAGTACCCAACCTAACAGGGTGTCTGCTACAGCACCAGTTACCATGGTGACAGCACTCTAGTACAGGTCATTTCCATTTTTTGTTTGAAGAAGAAGAAAAACAGAGCAAAAACAATGTGTTTTCCTTCTGTGAAGGTAAACATAATAAAACCATGGTTTTCTGCTATTGTCAAATTGTCTGTTGGTGTACAACACTTTGAATTCATTCCATTGGTTCCATTTCAATGTTATTACATGTAGAAGTAGCTGTACTGACCCTTTCCACCTCCGGTGGGTTGCAGTAGTAGAAGGCGTTCTCTATCAGGGTGGTGTAGCGCTCGTTCATGTGCATCACTGTCTTCTTACGCATCATCTGTTCCTGTTGCGGTTGAATATCAAACTCAACATCAGCAAACAGCAAGCAAGTGCATGATTCATTCAATCAATAGATATCAATAGCAGCAATTCCTGTTTTGTTCAATTGTACATTGTTTAATACATGTACATACTGATAAATTGCTTTTTCTAATGATGGGTGAATAAGAAGTAATGTATGAAGTGCATCTACATGTAACCTATTCTTCAGACTTAGATTTGCATAACATTTTTAGGCAAAGAAATGCTGACTTCGAGATCAGAATAGAACTGCACTTCAGGCAAAGAACTCAGAAAATGCTACATGTAACTTTGAGATCAATTTTTTGTCAAAAGAGGCAAGAGCAGAAACTACAAAGTACTGTAAATCATGATTTTTTTTCACCATACATTTTTTGTACTTAAATATTTGCGGTTTTTGCTGTCATGTCTGGAGCACAGACTTATCATTCCCGTGAACAAATAGTCCGTTGACTTTCTTTTTGCTGCATTTGCCGCCACCACGAACATAGTTTCACGAACATGTCCATTTTTCTCAGACTGCGAAGTTTTGCTAATGCAACATAAAGTGATTTACAGTAGCTAAGAACAGCCTTACCAGTAGAACCTTTGTGCGCAGATGTGAGTCAGGTGACCTGTAGAGGAAACGTCCACATGACTCCAGCAGGGCACAGGCCATCTCTATCTGGTGGTGACGGAAGTCTAGCAGTAACATCTGTATAGAAAACAAACGCAGATCTAGATCAGGACTGGTATTACTCAAAAATTTTGTAATTTATAATTTGCTGACGGAATGGAGTTGAATGTGAAAGGTATCGAATTTGGTAAGAGTAGGACGTGAAGAAAGACAGAATAACACGCAGAGAGCTGACATGCTTTACCAAAGTAATTATTTACAAGAAGACAAAAATCAGTACAAACCTTAAGACAATGAAGAGTCTCCTTTTTGGGGAAGACACCGAACTTTGTCATCTCCCCTGCAAAGACAGCCAAACATAACTACAGGTAGTGGTCCTAAGGTAAACATGGTGATGGATGTACATGTAACCCCCTACTCCCCTACTTGAGTAAAAATGGGTTAAAAGCAATCCACAGTCTAATTTTAGGCTAATCAACCTACCAATGAAGCGGACTGTCTTCAGTTTTGATTCCAGGTTGATTTGGTCCTTCTTTCTCACCTGTGCCAAGACAAAGACAGTAATTTAACCAACAGCTACTCACTGGTATTTTTGGTAGTAGCATAAAGTAACTGTAGCTAAAAACCATAATTATCATAAAATCTTATAACACATGCCACATTCTAGTACATTATGGGACTTGCAAAGCAAATGCATGTTTACCCTCACAAGGTCTCACCTAACAAAATGCTGCTCTGTTTATTCTTACTAAATGACATTCATATATCTGGTGACCAGTCCTCCCATTTGCTACATAATACAATGTATATGTCACCCAACACCACAGGGTATCTCCTACAGCACCAGTAATCATGGTTACAGACGTCTGGTCCAGGTCATTGACCTTCCATGTTTGTAGAGGATGAAAGAAGGACTTAATGAAAGAAGGAAATAGACTATTTTGTTTATGAACTTTCTCATCTAAAGTGATGATCTCACGATGACTCACATGGAACCTGAAGTCTCCCTTGAGCATGGCGACCAGGTCATCTGCCACGTCAGGTGTGCACGGCTGCAGGGTGGCCACCAGACGGGAGTAGAACGGCAGCAGGTCAATCCTGGAGGGACAGGGAAACAATGTTTAACCCTTAGCACACTGGAGCAGCTGTTTGGCTGACAAGTTTCTATTGGTTATGGGTGAGGCAGTGGGTAGAGGGTTGAGCAACAAGCAGAACTGCTTACTTATGCTAAATATTGCCCTCCTAACACTCCCCCCAACTATGGTCAGGAGTAAGGTTGGCTGTTGTTGGCTGGTTTTCAGCAAGGTTGACTATTATTTGGCTTCCGAATGTTTCAAAATGTTTCAAACATGTGGTTTGGATGGAAAGGTTGGTCCTGGCTAGCTGGTATTTGGAAGTTGATCAGCAGTGTTTGGGACATGTTCAGGGCTCAAATTTGACTCAAATTTAACTTAAACTGGATTCAATTCATATTGAAATGTTGGCATGGCCTAAATCTGGTAAGACTGCTAACACCAAAACACACCAGCTACTTAAATCATCTATCCCTGTTATATTTTTGGTCCATATGCCACAGTGTTATACTTCTGGACTAGTGGATTGTACCTTGTCCTGTGCACAGTGAAGAGAGCCCTGACTAGTTTCCTCCTGTTGGTCTTGTTGTTCATGTTCATACAGAATTCCAGCCCAGCCTACAAGTCATGGAAGAAAAACATTTAGTTAAAACCATTCTGTCAGTATCTATAACCTTATATAATTATGACCATTCACTCTTCTCTCAATCTGTAATTGACATCTATACAAGTTTGGTCAATTACAGATAAAAATTTTGAGAGCTATAGAGAAAAAGTTGGGCTTTTAAAATTTCTTGGCTAAACGTCCAACCAATTCAGTGCTCTTATTCTATGTTCCTTACATTATCAATGAACTCCCTGTTGACACAGTTTGGCAGCTGTTGTAGGAAACCCTCCAGTAACATCTTAGTGCTGGACCCTGAGGCACCCTCTGTGTCTTCATCTACATCTGGGGACAAAAAAAAAACAAGACACTTTATCTGTATCTGCCAAAATCTGTCAATCTTTCTAAGTACAGAGCTGGTCATAACAACTTTTGCTGGTCCCAATTCTTCTTTCCATAATTGCAAAAAGACCACCTGTCCAAGAAGATCACTTAACCTTGGTCCCCTTAGTTCTTGGGCAGGTTGCAACATACAATAAACATCAAATGCAGAGCAGCTTTCTATACCTTCCAACTAAAAATGATTCGATTCGATTAGACACAAAACTGATATTCTGGAGAGGAAATAAAGGCACAAATACTGTAAATCCCTTTATATTTGCAGTAGCAAAGATAGCAGTCTGAGAAAAATGGACAACTTTGCGGTGTGGCAGGTGCAGAAGAAAAAAAGTTGGCGTATTATTTGTTTGCGATAATGATAAATTTGTGGTACAAAAGTGACTGCGAAAACCACAAAAGTAAAAGTACCGCGAATATAAGTGATTCAAAGTAGTATAGCAGGGCTGTAGTATAGCTGGATGTAGTTACCTTCTACAGTCCCTAGAATCTCCTTCTCTATGTCCTCTACTGACATCTCTGCCTGGGCGGAGTCTGTGTCTCCCTCTGCCTCAGCCTCTGCTTCAGCCTCTGCCACCTCCACTGCCTCGGCCAGCTCCAGGTTACTCATCTCTGTGGGGAGGGCACACGAAGTACTGCTGACTTTCTTCACACAATCATTTTGTTTAACTCATCTATGGTGAGGGCACACAAAGTACTGTTGATTAATCTTCACACAGTTTTTTTGTTTGGTATAACTGGTAAAGCACCTTTTGGTGTAACACATCAGTTTTGTAAAGTAGGAACAATCTGCGTAACTCATTTTCACCTGAGTTGAGTGAGGAAATAGGTGTTTTTTTAAGTGCCTTTCCCAACAGGGGCACAACAGTGGGGCATGACAGAGATTTGAACCCAGAACCTTCAGATTCCGTGTCAACAATTCAAACCACAAGACCACCTTGCCACATTAAGTGTCACTCACATACCAAGTTTGCATTATGCTGAGCAGAGAACTTAGCAGGAAGGGGGTTAAAGAGATACTACCAGTAACACAATGATTTTTGTTTTAGGAATGTCTAACAATGCAGTGGAAGGACAAACTAGCTTGTCACACCCAGGCACATTCTCACCTTCCTCCAGTGCCTCTACTGTGTCTTCAGGTGTGTCTGCTTCAGCCTCCTGCTCCTTAGACTTCTTTTCACTGTCCTTAAACAAGATCTGAAAACAAAGAAAGACATATACAATAAAGGCACGAAGAGAGCTCAGAAGTCCAGTCGACTAAAACTCTATATTCACAAAGGGAATTTTCCTTGCAGCTTTGTTTTGAACTACAGATTACAGGCAAGTAAATGAAAAAAATATGAGGAAAACTATGCTACCTTGGCAAAGGTTTGTGATCTTTAAGAAGTGTTTTTTCAGTACTAGACAATGGTTTAACCCTAAACAGTACACCTGGGGTCCGCGCGGACCCCAGCACTATATATTCTGTAATATCTTTTTTGTTTCTAAAGATTTTTTTCTGAAATTTTAGGTAATTGTCACCCACAAAGTTGTCTCTCAATACAGTGCAGAAAACTCTGTTTCTACCATTTATAAAAAAAAATATATCTGATTTTCTTTTGGGGTCCGCGCGGACCCCAGCCGGCTTTCGATCATAATGGATACACTGGCGTTCTTATACATTACCTTATTTCCGTTTTTATATGTTTTTATGCACTCATCGTATGTCTACCGAGTTTTCAGAGAATGGTGTCGTAATAGAATTAAATTTTGATAACATTGGTGTAATTATGACGTCATATGACGTCAGAGCTAATAATATAGTCCGCCATATTGGATTTTGACCAATGACGTCATCAAATTAGCATATTCCATGCATATTAAATGATTTAACTTATATTTAATTATGTTAGATGTTATTAATGTTGGAAAAGAAGTGTAATTTAATATAAAACTCAGAAAATTTTTATGTTTAAACCAAAATTACTTCTATTTTTAAAAAAAGAAACCCGTTGCCATGGCAACACAAAAAAACATAAACTTACTAGTATTAAACTAATATGAACTTTTTTCCAGAGACATTTTAGGAAAGGTCTCCAAATTTGATACTTCTAGCGCAAGCCGTTTAGCCGCTATCTGAGATCAAAGTTGGGCCTCAAAAGCCCCTTCAGTCTGAAATGGGTTTAAAAATCGGGTATTTCTTCTTGTCTTCTTTTCTTCACCAAAAAATAGAAAAAGTTCAAAATGTATGATTTTTGGATGTAATGTGGACACAGAGGTTCCCACATCAGTTTGCAAAACAATTGAGCTGGTAGCATGTTGATAATTTCTAAAAATTAGCAAAAAACTGTTCTGGGGTCCGCGCGGACCCCAGGTGTACAGATTAATCAGTCCGGGAAGGTGTACTGTTGAGGGTTAAGATAACTTACAGCAGGTAGAAACTCCTTGAGGTTAGGCAGGTTCTCATAGAAGCTCCTGGTCTCTTCATCTTCCCACAGGGTGTTCTCTCCTATCTCCCCCTACAGAACACAGAATAGGAACTTACACAGCCCACTGAAGTATGCCATGTGCGCCATTTTAAAACTTGACCTTCTTTTCCACACGACTACTCACCTACCAAATGCCATTTTCAAACTTGACCTTCTTTTCCACACCACTCTTCACCACTACCCACCTACCAAATATAATGAAGTTTTTCTACAGCTTCAGAATCTCGAGTTACAATGTATGATGTTAACAAACATAAATTGTACATGTACATACCCATACCAAAGCCATTCCACCATGGCACAGTTTTGGGCAATGCATGACACCTAGCAGAATCCATTTGTACTGCAAACGGTGGTTTTAATTAAAGGTGATACATATAAGACATTAGCTATGATCACTGCTCTGTGTATTTTACTTACCTCACCACCTTTGATAGCAAGGAAGATGTCCACATTTCCCTCCTCCTCTTCTTTAAAATCTGTTGAAGACCAAAGACAGTTTGTATGTAGAAATGACGCAATGCCATTAAATCATTCTGCAGAATAACATCTTTCAACTCTATTTTCATGAAGATAAATTTTCACACACAAACTTTTCCATCTCCACCTTTTCACATCTTTCAATTGACAGATCTTGTTAACACTTTGTTTCTTTTGCAAAAATGGTAAATCGCCTTTAAATGTAACAAACCAGTTTTGTACAAGCTGCGTAAGGCCAGACTGTAAGGTTTGAACCGCTTGCACTGGGAAGGTCCGCCACTCTTTTCGAAAAGTGTGGTGGGCTCTTAAACGATCTTGAGCTCTAAGTGTGGCTCTCCTCAAACATTGGGCCTCTGACTTTACATCCCATCCTAGAGGACTTCCATAACTGAAGCTAAATACTCATTTTCACCAGTGAGGAAGTAGGTGTAAAGTGCCTTTCCCAAGGGCACACTGCCAGGGATTTGAACCCAGAACCTACAGACTCTAAGTCAACAACCCTAACCACAAGACCACCTTAGACCACTTTTCAGAGAATCTCTCACCATCTTCAGGTAGATCTGGCATGTCTTCATCCAGGAGGTCTGCCAGGGTGGAGGCATTCATCAGGAGTTTCTGGTACGCTGCCTGGGCGTCCTCGAACGACTTCTGTCTGTCTTCACTCAGCTCTCCTTTGGTCTGCAGGAACAATAACACAACTCTCTCATCAAATACAGGGGTCAAATATTCAACTTCACTGTATTTGTTAAATCCCCTGTCACACATTCAGAACCTTCTCCAGAACAACAATCAACCAAGGTTGGCTCAAGTTTGGAAGCAGTCTGACCAGATTTAGGCCACGTATACAATCGAATTTGAATTAAAGTTAAGTCAAATTTGACTGTAAACCACTGCTGACCTATTCCCAACAGTCACCCAACGAGTCTCCAACCATAGCCCAATCTCCTGTCCACTTTAGATTATTTAAACATTTTGAAACATTCAGCTGGCACAAACGTTCAGTAGCCAACCTCACTGATCACCAGCCAACCACAGCCAACCTTGCTCCAGACCTAAACTATGGTTGGGTAGAGATTGGCAGTGTTGGCAGGCCATATTCTGCTATGTGCGACAGTTGCTTAACACTCAATGTTGAAAAGAAATAATGAATGAAAGAAATTTTCTCAGGCAGACACATGTATATACAATAAACTGATCATCACTATCAGTTTTAAGAAATAGTAAGCATGTTCCCATGTTCATCGGCACAGTCCAGCCACTATGTAGTGCAGGACTGCTTCCTGACTGGGACACATACAGGTCTATGTCAGCCATCACTGGACATTGCATGGCTACAGACAAGCCAGCATTGTGGCAGATGGCTTATGTCAGAAAAACAACAAACTTTAAGAAAACATACTGACTTACAGAAACATTGTATCCAAATTGACAACAAACAGATAAGGCCATACCAATTTAATGAATTGGTTCCTGGATTTACCCTCTTCATTTTTTTTTGATATGCAAAAAAAAATGTTTGCTTATAAGCATTTTGGAGCAAGAGTTTATTTTTATAAAAATAAAGAGTTTATTTTTATAAAAATAAACTCTTGCTCCAAAATGCTTCTATTTAGGCTCCAACAGTTGAAGAAAGTCCTAGTCTTCTTACTTGTTACAGTTTTTCATCTATCAATGCAGTGTCTTGATTAAAACTTTAAAAATTCATTGTTTGAATTATAACAAGAAGCCATAGGTGACAATTCTCCGTGAAGTATTATATATTGCAACAAAAAGAAGTAGCCATTGGCGACAATTCTCTGTGAAGTGTGATAAATCGAACAAAGAAATTGTTTAAACGCGCGTCGGCTCAGTCATCTTAAGACGCAACAACCAATCAGAGATGCGAGATGCCTACACGTGACGCGGGAAGGGCGCGCGATGCCCGAAATATTTTTGCGTCAATATTCAGCGCCGTGATTCAAGAGATTAATACCCGGAAACAATTTTTTTCTTGTTTTGAACGCATTAACATGCATTTACGCTAATCTAGTATGATTCAGGGTTACTTTTTTTTAACCTGCCATGGCCAGATTATCTAAAGATGTGTGTATTGTGTGTACAATCTATAGAAAGAGAAATGTACATCAGGTCCGATCATCCGATTTTCACGTTTCGGTTTTTTGGACTCGGTTCATGAATGGTTTGGTTTGGCTCCTGGAATGTGCAAAAAAATGACTCCCGGGACTGTCTACAGGGAACACTCGCACATTCGCGGTGTATCAGGACAGCGCGACTGGTCGTCATTAGCGCAGTAACAGTTGCATAAACGGACGAAACCATTTCAAAGAAATGGGGATGTTTCGAAAATAAGCATTTACTCCAATATCAAAACAGCTACGGTAAAAATAAAAAGACGTGCATCATCCCGGACATAATGCAACACCACATGCGAAATTACACAGAAATGCGACGTACGGAAGAATGCGTTTTGGCTGCGAACATCTTCCAAAAAACTTGGCATCTCTTAACCATGGGCAAAAACATCTGGAACCACTTATAAAAACCACCCCGTATCTGCATGAACTTTTTTGAACCCCACTGCTATTCCAAACAACGCGTTTTTCTGGACCATTCCAATTCGCCTCGTAATTGTAGGGGTGCGTCTGCGATATTACATTGACCGCGAAAGCAGCAACGGCAAAAATACACATTCGTGCATCAACACGGGCATGCCAGCAGACGGCGTATAAAATTGCGTGCCGATTACACAAAGAGAACCCAGTGTTTTGACTGCGAACATGAAAAATCAGCCGATTACAACACTCCGTCCGGAGGTCCTGACCTCCTTCACGGAGTAACAAACCAGTCTGGTATGTTGACTTCATGGCTCCTATTACTGTATTTGGGGCTATCATAGGATGCCTAGGCCCTTTTTTTCTACCTTAGTTTCATATTTTTCTCATAAATCCGAGAACCAACAAATTAAATTGGTACGGCCTATATTATCACATTTGCAAAACAAAACATATGCTGTAAATTGTTTGCTGTAACCTGTAGGGTCCTCCTGTTGTTCCATGCCTGGTTCTGCAGTGCCTTGTGGTCCTTCTGTAGGTGTTTAACCAGCGAGGTGAAGTAATCCTTCAGCAGCTGCCGACACTTCCCCTGGATCTCTGATGGGAACACCTGGGAAGAAGTACATCTTAGAGACAATATACTATGAACAACAGTTGTCTCAACTGTCATATATCCAACTTCTTCACGTTTGGGAACGCATTGTAGATACATTTCCCTGTACTCTAATCACGCATATGTGTAGATATGTAAATATTGTACATTTGAGAATGCATCTATAGCAGCGACACCTGTGCTGCAGTGCAATGTGAACCAGTCAGAATTGCCCTGAGGAAGGTGACAGACGGTCACCGAAACGGTGACTGAATAAAAGACTTGGTTGTGTAAAAAAGAGTCACTTTACTAAACCAGGGGTAGTGTCAGTGGGAGGATGACTAGACAACATGCAAAACTTGACCAATTGCCAGCGCGCACAGAGCGGTACAACAGAAGTACATTACCGTACCTTGTTCACATTTTAAATCATGAATAGTCTGTGTAAATGTATGATTTTAATATGATTTAATGACTGTTTTTACAACACGGAATGATGATCAGGATTTTATTTCACTGTCTAAAGCTTTTATTCACGCAATTCAGCCTTGTGGCTGCCTAGTGATGGAGCTGTATTGTGATTTGTGTTTGTGTTTGAAATAAACCAATGATATATAAGTGTCTTAACAACCCTATGAAACTACTCACGGACTGTCGTTAAAGCTAATCACCAACAGAAGATCACTTTACATGAAAGAGAAGACCTAAGGTACAATAAGTTCACTGTGAAATTCTATTCTATGTAAAAATATGTCACAATAACATTTAGCTTTATGATAATTTTGAAGAAGACTTACCTCACTCTTTGGTAAGATGACATTGTATTTGTCTGCAAGAGATCTACAGGGACAGAATGGAAAACACTTTTCATTGGGAGCACTTAGTATAATCACCTGTCCATGTACAACACAGCTACCAGAAATACACAGCTATACAAATCTACAGCAACAATCACAAGCTGAGGACAGAACATCTCTGTTCAAGGTTGTATTCATGTACATGTGTATTTACATATGACATCCCATCTATAGTTTTCAGTGTCAGAAAAGATGATACTGCCTACAACAGTCAAAATCCTGATGCAATGTTGATCAAACATGCAACAAAAACTGTAAAAAATCCTGTTTCAACCAGTATGTTCTGTTAACATTCTCCTGGGGATATCCTTACACACGTCTTCTTTCTTCCTCCTTTAATGTCTAAAATCATAATAATGATCATTCTGGCATATGCATTTTCCCCTTAGCGAAGTGAGGACAGTTGCATAAGAAAAAAGTGCCTTTCCCAAGGGCACAAGATCAGTGACATGGCAGGATTCACACCCGAATGGTTCTGAGCCGATTGCTCTGTCTTTACATCACAAGACCCCACATTTATTACACACAATTCTCACAACATAGCCTTTGCAATCTACTATTATCCACACCTATTTTTCCTGGGCACCAGTCCTGCGTAGTCCTCCCCACAGTGCCTACAGAAGCTGGACAGCACAGTCAGGTTGTTGTGTACCTCCTTGTCTCCATCTATCAGTGCCTTCAGCTGACTGGCTACCAGCGGTAGGCCTTCCTTGTCTGTAAAGACTCCGGCCACTGTCAGCTGAGATGGGAGAACAAAAAACAGACTCGGACTATCAAAGGGGTATTATGTAACATTTTGTAACAAAAATTGAAATATCTTCATTGAAAAAAATCTTGTGTTTATTTCCACTTTTGAAAGTATTTGTGCAATTAATTCACATTTCTGACATTTATGGTTGCCCACGACAAGGCGCCACCACAGACATTTGATAGCATTTCAGAATTTTTGCACCAGATGCTATTCAAGACTTTAGTTTGTCAGTGCATAACACATTTTAGAGGAAAATTTCTTACAACAGAGAGAGAGAGAGAACACTTATCGCTCTCCTTAATGAGAAAGCTGTTCACTACTGTAATTCACTTTATGTTCACGGCAGCAAAGGTTCGCAGTCTGAGAAAAATGGAGGTGTTCATGGAACAATATGTTTACAGTGGCGGCAGGTTCAGATAAAAAAAAAGTCAGTGAATCATTTGTTATGATAAGTTTGTGGTACAGAAGTGACTGCAAAAACTGCAAACAAGAAAGTACCACAAAAAAAAATCAGTAATTCACAGTAATTTGAACACCTTGACCTAAGAACAAATCCTGCCCAAATCTCTCACCTCAGCCACCTGTCGCAGGTCCACCCTGAGTTTGTCTCCCTTCTCCTTCTTCTTCTCCTCCTTGTCATCTCTGCGTGCCTGGAAGGACTTGTTCCATGTCTGCAGGAGCTGGGGGGTGAACTCAGCGTAACGCTGGTGGAACAGCGAGCACAGGTGCACCGCACAGCTCACGTCTGACATCTGACAACAGGGAAGGAGGTAAACATTTTGTACTGGTGCAATAGCTCAATCAGGTAGAGTGCTTGCTTTGTAACCGGGAGGTTGTGAGTTAAAACCCCAGCCGGGTCATTACTTTAAAAATAGTACATACTGCTTTCTCTGCTTAGCACTCAGCATCTATGAAAAAGAGTTTGGGAAGGTCAAACACATCACAACTCTGCTGTAGTGCTTGCAAAACTGTGTGGCCCAAGGGCTACAGAAATGGAGATGGGCCCCATCCCTATGCTCGGCACAAAGTGGAACGGGACCTTCATTAACAGTGGCCTCAAACTGTTGAGTGTTTTGTAATTAGGCTAGTTGACCTGGCTAGCTAGCATAAAATCGAAAGGTAACGGGTTCATTTGCTGGTATTCCTTGTGAAAGGCACATTGCACATTTTTTTCACTCCACAAAATCAAAACAGAAAAATACCTTGAGCTTTGCTTCCACAAAGGAATTCACCTGTAAAACAAACAGACAAAATATAAGATATTTTTGTGGGAAGAAAAATGCGTACACACTATTGACATATCAATCTCACAGAAAATACAGTTTAGCACATTATGATTAAGGTGCCTGGAAATTCAGTATTTTCACGTTGTGAACAAATTAAGATATACAGACTGAACACATCAATAAAAGAAGAAACAGAGGACTTACAGCTTCTCCTATGTACTTGGTCAGGTTCAATGAGTTGAACTCCTTAGTCAGAGATTCTCTCTGCTGCTCTGTTATTGTTTTCTACAGGGAAAAAAACTCTTAATTCTCAAAAATCTGTGTTAAATATATAGTTACCAGTAAGAATCATGAAAAAGGAATATGACATCTTTCATAGGTCTAATGTCTTGAAATTGGAATACTGAAACTTTATCTACCAGTTTCTTGACAAAAGCTGTATTCTTCTTGAGGCTGGAGTCCAGTTTGCTGAAAAATCCTTCTTCTGGCCGGTTATCTACAACAAAAAAGAATCCACAATTTGGGTAAGTAAAACTTCTTGTGTGGGAGTTACATTTAAACTTGCTTCATAAAACACAAAATAACTTAATATTGCCATTAGAAATAAAAGAATGGCTGATACAAATATCGCGCCCTACATGCACCTCGTGTGTCATTGCAAGATTTAGTGGGAGTTGGAACTACTGCAAATCACTAGATATTAGCGGTTCTTTTATGTTCACGGTTTTCTTGGTCACTTCTGTATCGCAAATTTAGCATTAGGCCACACCAATTTAATTTCTTGGTTAACAGATTCACCTGTTTCATTTTTTTCTGATTTTGCAAACAAAAAAATTCAGAATCAACTGTAAAATGCGCATATTTTGCCCTGAACAGTTGAAAACAGTCCTTTTCTCCCTAGTTGCTACAGTTATTCCATCTATCAATGCAGTGGTATCATCAAAAGTTCAAAATTCATTGTTTAAATTTTGAACCAGTCTGGTGTGTTGACTTTATGGCTCCTATCATACCATTTTGGGCCATAACCGGATGCCTAGGCCTGTTTTTATTTTTTCGCCCGCCCGCTCCATTATTTCTCTAGAAAAATCCGTTAACCAAGAAATTAAATTGGTGTGGCCTAAAGGGAATATAAAGTGATTTGCAGTAAATAAGAATGTACCGGATGGATTTTGAGACCAGAAAAAAATAAACGGGCCCTGAGAGTACCTACCTCCAGCATGAAGATTAGTGGTCCTGAGTTGCTTCTTCGCCCTGATTCTCTCTTCTGCCTCCACTGCCATCTCATGGGCCTGTTTCTGTGGGTACAGGAGATGGTGGAAATGTCAATCTCATCTATCAAACATGCTGGGATAGTTTCAACAATCAAGATACATTGTATCTCACTGTGCTAGCCAGTGTGTCTTTTCATCATTTAGCAGAATTTTGCCATTCGCAACAAACTAAAATTTCGTCCAATCCGTCATCTTTGACCGACAAAAATTAGCATACAAAGATATGGAAAGAGATCATTATACTAAGCTTAATCTACCAGCAAAATTTGCCCCTCAAAATGTAGGAAATAGTGTTTCAGAGGGTCAAGTTTTCCTTGGGGAGCAAGCCCCTGGACTACCACCCGCACCTTTGGCACTGGACTTAACATTACACATTTTTATATCAAACAAAATTGAGTTGATGGAAAAAATTCAGGCTGGCTACAACACTGGTGTATCTGCAACATATTTTCCACTGGTTGACTAGTATACCGAAAAAAAGCTTTAGTTTGTTGTGCCAAATCATAATACATATAGTACATGTATGCTGGAGTGGCAGACTAATTAGCTATCAGGGCCATGTTTTTGCAAAAGAGCTTTTCCCAAACTGGATCCTTTTACTACATGCACTAGACAAGTAGGTTGGAAATGCAGAGGAAAACAAGAAATCTTCTAAAGGAAGGACTGGCCAACCTTTTCTTATCTAACAGTACTCTATACTTTAAGACTTACATGTACATAATGACATGTAAAGTACATCAGTAACAAGACCACCTGCGTTTCTCGTACCACTAACATCTTGTCCAACCTGGAAACTCAGACCTCATAACACCGTCTAACACACAATCTCGATGCCAGTTTTAGTCAGGCGAATACATCCAATCCTTCACATGTCCCCACTGAGGCTATCTTGCTACATCTTTCTGTGCTGTTATAAATCGTGTCAGCCCCCGACAGACATCTAGAGGAATATCATGATATCAGAAGGTCTCTGTGTGCCTATCACTCAACCTTTGCCAGCTTTAATAGACCGAAGGGGGAAATAAGAAATTCCCAGTCGAACTGGCCTTCCAATAATGAAGGATGACACCCTGTACTATATATACTAGTACATCTTTAAAGGTTGAAGTCAGGATATTATTAGAAAGAATATATTACTTCTGCAAGACAGGAATCAAATAGTAGCTTGGTTTTGGGCTTAATAGACCGAAGGGGGAAATAAGAAATTCCCAGCTGAACTGGCCTTCCCATAATGAAAGATGACACTCTATGGCAAATATACATCTTGAAGATTGAAGACAGGATTAGGTAGAACATATTACGTCTACAAGACTGGAATACAATATAGCACTTTTTAGCAGCTTGGTTTTTACTTCAGCTTTAATACAAAGCTTCATCTTCAAGTTAAATGTTCAGCCTATTCAAAACACCCCATTCAAAATGGAGACAGTACCATCTATACATCTTTACAGGTTGAAGACAGGATATTATTTGGTAGCACATATTACTTCTACAAGACTGGAATCCAATACAGCTAACCAATACAGCTAAGCTTCATCTTAAGTTAAATGTACAGCCGATTCAAAACACCCCATTCAAAATGGAGACAGTACCATATATATACATCTTTACAGATTGAAGACAGGATATTATTTGGTAGCACTTTATTACTTCTACAAGACTGGAATCCATTGGCTTAAAGAAAGCTTCATCCTAGAGTTAAATCATAAATGTACAGCCAATTCAAAACACCCCATTCAAAATGGAGACAGCACCACAGATCTATGTAGCTTTCCCACTTTTATAACATTTCCTTGAGTTGTGTTGAATTTTGCTAGTTATCTGTCCTGTGGGTGGATGTTCCCAGATACATTGTATGCAGTATGCAGAGAGGGAAGCATCTTCAAGTTAGCCCAAGGAAAGGCTGCTAGATCGATTCTCTACTCGTCCTAAAGGAAGCAATCCATGAGTTACAACATTCCTAACAACATCTTATGCAACAGCTTCTGTACTGTATCAGATTGCTGCTTCAATAATGTAACTTCAACGCAGTAATTCTAGCAGAATTCCCTGCAGTAATTCCTGCCAGAGTCATATGCTGTTAAAGTAATATAAAAGGTGTCAAGGTCCTTCAGTCACTTGAGAGCTTTGTTTTATAGCAGCATCAGATTTGCAGGGAAATATGTATGAGGTGCAATCGCCCAAGGACCCCTGCATTAGACGGGCCGGTAATGGTTCCAATGGGGAGACAAGGATCACACGTACATGTACTTATGGGCACTTGGAAAGGAATTTGTTGTTTCAAGAGAACAAGAGAATAAAAAAAGGACATGTATGTGTGTTGTAATTGAGGCTGATATTACAAAAATCAAAACACACCGGTACCCTGCCTTAGGTGAGTGAAGGTAACATTGGAGATGTACAGGTATGTAGACATTAATAATCCATATAGCTGGATCAAGAACTGGGTGGTTCCATACATAATTAAATTGAACATATTACCTGCTCTTCTTCTTTCCTTCTTGCTTCTTCTTCTTCCCTTCGACGCTGTAGAAAATTATGAAATGGAACGTCAATTGTTTTTAATTTTATGCTATTTCATTTCCAAAGATATTTCAAGAAATCACTGTCATACAGATGATACAATGATTAAGATCATCATAAAAGGTTAGAAATTAAGCTACTTACTTGTTCCTCTTCTTGTCTCTTCTTCTCTTCCTCTTTCCTTCGTTCCTCCTCTTCGAGTCTTTTCTGCTCTTCTTCCGCCTTTTTCTGTTCTGCCAGCAATCTTTCCTCCTCCATCCTTTTCTTCCTCTCCTCTTCTTCCTTTTTCAGCTCCTCTTTGGTTTTCTTGGGTTCCCTCTTGGAGTCTTTCCCCTTCTTGTCATCCTTACCCGTAGGTTTACCCGCGGCAGTCTTGTCGCTATCCCTGCGGTCTCTACGGTTACGATCGCGGTCACGGGAGCTCTTCGGCCTGTCGTCAGGCCTGTCACTCCGCCTGTCCTCCTGACGCGGTTTTCCCGCGTCCTTCCCGTGGTCACTCCGAACCTCCCCCCTGGAGTCTGCACGTGGTCTGTTCCTATCGCCATGACGACCTTCGCCGCTCCCTCTGTCCCTCGCAGACTGCGGCCGTTTGTTGCCGCCGCCGCCATTTTTTTCCACCCTGTCCTTTCCCTGCCCGCCGGTTTTACTATTACGACCGTCGCTCAGTTCGTCTTTACTCTCCTTCCGACGGTCTCGGAACCTGCCACCCCCGCCTCCCTCCTTGGGTGGTCTGTCCCGACGGTCGCGGTCTCTTTTAGGACCATCATCCTTTGCTGGGGGAAGGTCCTGTGATTTGGCATTAGATTTCAACTTTGTGTCCGGAGCGCTTTTTCCTTCTGCCTTGTCACCCATCTTGTTGCACGCAACTTGGAGACCTGCCTGTTTTGGTACTTTCAGAGCTACATATGACTTCTATTCAGTCATATGGAATGCCCTAGAAGGATGCAAATAAGAGATTTGAATTATATGCTACGAAAGATCTACCATGCCTGTAACAATAAAAATGTATCCAGATGCTTCATCACGAACTTGCCATTGAAATAAAAAATCAAGATTCATCACAGATTTTCATAAACATTTCTTGAAGTTATGAATATTTAATCATGTTTTAAATGTATAAATCATATATAGAAGATAATGAAAACATCAATTTCTGACAGCAATGACCTGCTGGTACTAGTTCTAGGAAACAATATTGTTGACTTTGTGTGTCAAACAAGAAGACAATCGTCGTCAACAACTACATGTATGGTGTCAGTTTCCAACACTGTTGACGTGTATAGTGGGTGTGTGGACGAAACGTACCAAAACATTTTTGAAGGTCTCTCATAACATATCTACTCCTCAATCTTTCTGATTCTTTGTGGTTCACAAATATGTTCTACACCGGATTATAATAGATCAAGACTAGAAAGGCTGATGGTTTCGTAAACGGGATTGTAACAAACTTCCCACCGTGGTTTAATACACCACAAGTCATTCAGAATCAGGACGGTCCAGCCACATCAAAACAACAGCTGTTTACTACGGACATATTCGCCCCCAAAGCTCGCCCGACGTCTGGTTAAAACGTTACACGCTCCCGTGCCCTCTGCTTACCTGTTGACGCGAAGCTCGGCGTCCGCTAGCCCATCTCGGCCGAACTTTGGACGACCAAATCCGGAGTGAAATTTTTTGCAGAACTCGAACTGAACTTCTCTTCGGCCAACATGGCTCCTCGCGCGCTGTGCATGACGGGATGGGGAGGTCAGGGGTCACGGTGCACAGCTGGCGGGAGATTTGCGCGGGTGTTTGCGTGTCAGTCTTCTAACATAATCTTTCATATAAATTTTGTGCGATTAAGGAAAATAGGTGAGTTTTTGCGGCGTAGATTGACTCATTTAATGATTTACTAGTCCAGCATTTGGTTTCGTAGAAAATAGTACTTGTAGGAGGGTATTTTCTCCAAAATTATTCTTGCGTAGCTTTTTGGGGGTGGGGGGCAAAAAAAATTTGCTCGTTGGCTTTAGCTTTAGGAGTCGATTTTCTTGGGTTAGTAGATAGTAGATAGTAGATCCTTTCAGCCAGGTAGGTATCCATCCAGTTTAGGCTGCTCGTTGCTCTACCGGACTGTCATTCCCGGCCTATGCGGGCAATCCAGGGCCGTGTGATTGTACATAATTGGATGACTCTCCATGTATTTATCAAGTCTGTTCTTGAAGGCATTTACCGAGGGTGCAGAGACCACTTCTTCAGGAAGACTGTTCCACCAGTTGGCCATTCTGCTTGTAAAGAATAATGCCCTTGTATTCCCCTTGAAGGTCTTCCTTATTATTCTCAAGCTATGACCTCTTGTCCTTGAATCTGCTTTTTGTTGGAACAGGTTCTGTGTGTCAAACAGACCATGCATGTATTTGTACGTGTTGATTAGGTCTCCCCTAATTCTCCTGTAGACCAATGTTGGGAGTTTCAGAGTTCTGAGTCTATCCTCGTAAGAAAGGTTGCTCAACCCCGGAACTCTTTTTGTGGCCCTTTTTTGGACTTTCTCTAATTCAAGCATCAGATTCTGTCTGTACGGAGACCAAACAGAGGCTCCATATTCTAAATGTGGCCTAATCAGGGCTTTAAAAAGCAGGAGAAATACTTCTTGATCGATAAACTGAAATGTTCTCCACAGTAGTCCTGTTAACTGGTTTGCCTTGTTTGCAATTGTGTGTATATGGTCCTTAAATGTAAGGTCTTTATCCGTTAATATACCCAGGTCCTTCTCCGTAGTCGTTGCTGCTAGGGGGATACTCCCAGATGTGCCTGCCATTGTGTATTCAAAAACTGGGTGCCCCTTTCCAATTCGAAGGACTGTGCATTTTTCCGGATGGAATTTTAGTTGCCATTTCATGGCCCATTCTTGAAGATTTTGTAAGTCCTGTTGAAGACTTTCACAGTCCCCCTTCTGTACCACTGCTCTGAATATTTTAGTATCATCTGCAAAAAGCCTCAACATACTTGTTGCAACTTCAGGCATATCGTTGACGAACAACGTAAAGAGAACAGGACCGAGAACACTCCCTTGAGGGACTCCACTCACTACGTCTGCCCATTCTGATTTACTATTGTTCACACAGACTCTCTGTTTTCTTCCCTGCAGAAAAGAACTGATCCATTGAAGAATATTCCCTTTACATCCGTAACTCTCAATTTTGGCTAACAATCTCTTGATCGGTACAGAGTCAAATGCTTTTCTAAATGGACAGGGTTATATACATGTATATGGTACTAACTCAGTAATGTTTACTACCTTTTCACAGCACATATTTCCTTGGAGACTGATCGACCTGCACCAGAAATGGACAGTGAGTATACAACATTTTTTTCTTCTTTTCAATCATGATGAGAGGGTCTGAATGGGGGAATCATGATGAAACACTAGGAGCGAGTAGAAACAGAAAAACCCCTGACTCCCAGGACGCCGGGAATCAAACCCGGACAGCCAGTCCCAGCGTATGAAGCAATTCACAAACCGCTACTCCTGACCTATTGGACTGGGTCAGTTATATTATTTTACTAGTGGCACTTGAACCCCACTGTTACAATCTGACTGGCAATTATGGTAAATTCAAGAGGACTGAAAATTCAGGCAGGCCTGCAACACTTATCGTTATTGAGTTATTCTTGTGTGCAGCATAATTTTGGAACAACTTCTCTGGAATGTTCTTTTGTATCCATGATTCCACGGTGTGTCTTACAAAACTAGAGTTTTATAGAAGGGTGATCACAGGTAACGTTACATGGTTTAGTATGTCCACTTGTCCGACTCGAGTGTCCTCTATTTTTCATTAGGTGACGATGACTACCCTATGGATTACGGCCTGGATGCCCTCACCTCACTTATGGATGAAGATGACTTTGGCAACGTGTTCGACAGAGATGAGGAAAACGCTGCCGAGAACGACAAACCGCCAACCCCTCCTCCCAAACTTTCCTTCGAAGACGCCCTAGCAGGGCCTTCAGAGCCCCATCATAGCAAGAGGAAAGTTAAAAGGACTTCCAAGGAGCATGAAAACAAGACCAGTACTAACCGTAAAAGTACAGATGGTGAAAAAGAAAGACAAGGGTCCAGAAAAAGTACAAAACAAGATACTGACAGAACTAGCCAGGGAGGACACGGAGACACAGAAGATGATGAAGCTAACAGGAGTAAAGAAGATTTGGAAGGTAATGTTACATATTTTACAGCTGTGTAATACTGTACTAAAAAGAGATGAAATGATATAAGGCCACACCAATTTAATTTCTTGGTTAACGGATTTTTCTAGAAAAATAATGGAGCGGGCGGGCGAAAAAAAATAAAAAAAATAAAAACAGGCCTAGGCATCCTATTATGGCCCAAAATGGTACGATAGGAGCCATAAAGTCAACACACCAGGCTGGTTCAAAATTTAAACAATGAATTTTGAACTTTTAATGATACCATTGCATTGAAAGATGGAATAACTATAACAACTAGGAAGAAAAGGACTGTTTTCAACTGTTCAGGGCAAAATATGAGCATTTTGCATTTGATTCTGAATTTTTATTTTTATTTGCAAATCAGAAAAAAATGAAGCGGGCGAATCCGTTAACCAAGAAATTAAATTGGTGTGGCCTAAGATAAAACCTTCCAACTAGAGATGGTCGCATTTACTTAAGAGTAAATACAGTGTATTTCACTTCATCTCCCTTTCCATGAAAAGGGACTTTTTGTGATAAAGTTTATTCTCCTTTTCTCCTGTTCGCAGAGGAACTAAGGCAGATGCGAGAGAAGATGATGATGTTGGAACAACAGCTGAAGAAACAGAAGTCACAGGATGAGACAAGTCCGACTGTCACCAAGAAGTGTATCCTTCATCTATTTTATCCAGGAGCACGTCATTTGACGCCCCCCCCCCCAACAAAAGATGTAGCCCACTCCTATATATACATGTTCATTTGATTGGGCAACCTTTTGCCTGATTATCTCTCACAAAGTTTAACCAGTTGGTTTTACCATGCTTTCTTTATCCATGATGAGCTATCACTATCAGACACACTTTTACTTCCAGTAAATCTAAGGCCAACTTCCAGTACAAGTACATGTAGTTCTAAAATAGATTAAAACTATGGATACATAATTTGGAGCGCTGCCTGCACCAGTGCAGGTATGCAAAAAATTGATTTTGAGGTCTCCTAGACTCTGTGTTGTTTTACTTGACACAAGCTCTTTCCAGCCACACCGGTTAACCCCTACCCCAGTCCGCCACAGAGCCGCCCACAGAAAACCAAGACAGAAAGTCAAAACCGTCTGGACTTCCTTACAGGACCTGCCAAATCTCCCAGTCCTTCTCAACGGTCAGAAGAAGAACCCAAGAGAAATGGAGATCGACTCAGTTTTCTTAAAGGAGATCCCAGTGTAGCTGCCAGCACTCCCAAGCAGAAAGTCAAAACTAGTCCCAAGAAGAAAAGTCCAACAGAGTCATTCTATAGCAACGGTGGCGGCAAGAAACGGGTCGCACATCAACCAAAGCAGGAGAGAGGAGGTAGAAATTTATTCTAACCTGTTGTTAGTTGTTGTGATAGGGCTAAAAATACACGATTGACTAGAAATGCACAGATGATTGTATTTTCTTTGTGGGTTTCTATTTTTCATTTACCCTCTTTTCTGTCCATACAATGGACAAGTGGACCTACAGAAATTTAACAGATATTGTGTCAATTATTTTTTTCTTTGTGCTGTTTGAAGTATAATTGTGTAATACAGTATTGTAGTCCCTGATGACAGACAAAATTTTTAAGTATGTAAAGAAGGCTAGAAGCATGAACTAATAATCTATTTGCAGAGATAGTTTATAAAAAATTGTAATTGTATCAAAACCTGGTGGTAGACTAATCCAGTGGCTTCCCACTATAGTGGGAAGAAAACATACTATGCTTTTGTCAATGTTAGAAGAAGACACTGGTCTCGCAGGGACTGCTCTATGTCTACCATGAGGGACAGGGGGTACTAGAATGACTTTATCAAATGTATCTCACCAGATTATCCAAAGGCATGATGACGATGATGTATCAAAACAGAAGGCTGTTAGCATATGTGTTTTTCACGATGAATACAGACTAAATACGTCGATGAAGGTTAGACATCCGGTAATACGATACGCCAAAAATTAGTTACTCAAGCAACTGGATATGATTTCAAAATCATATCCAGTTGCTTGAGTAACTACTTTTTGGCAAATACAGACTAAAGATGTATTTTTCTTGTTCACAGATGGTGAGAGTCATGAAACAGGGACCCCCAGGCCACTGGGTCTGTCTGTCAAGCACAACAGGAATCCCACCACAGGTGTCAAACGTGAACTCAGCCCCTCCGCTGACACCCTGGCTCCCAAGAGAACCAAGCTGCTGGAGTCAGACCCAGTCCTGGTGGACAAGTACTCTCAGATCAGGATATTGTAAGTGTGCTACTTATAACATGTTGGCAGAACGTACATGTACTTTATCATAAAAGTTCATCTGTGTTGATAGTTACATGTTTAAAGTTAAAACTTTTCTTCTAACACAAGGTAAATGATTTCACCTAGAGCTTTCGACCAATCGCTCTGGTCTTCCTCAGTAGATTGACAGTAAATAAGCGAATACAACCAAAATTTACATTTTGCTGAAGTGTTACCCAGTATGCACAATACAGCACAACTTTTGCACGTGTGCAGTACGATCTGCCAATGTGCCAGAACTTTTTATTTACAAACATAAGTCTGTATAGAGAATTTTTTTGATTCCAGTCTACAAGAATCCAATATCTATCAAGTGCAAGAGTCAGAAAAAAAACATTGACACAATGTTTCTAGAGAAGAAAATAACACATGGCTTTTATTTGGTGCATATGTACATAACTGTATCTAATGAAAACAAATCGTAAACTAAATTTTAAAAATTTGTTTGTCTGATCTTGTTCAGGAATCCTAAGATCTCGTCTGAGACACTGCGGACCAAGATGGAGGGAAGGAAGATGGTACGCATGTCTGTCATCAAGTCTCACATGAGGAATGGAGAGATAGAAGGGGACTGGGTCACCATGGGTGTCCTGGTCAAGAAGATACCGCCCAAGACTTCCAGCAACGTAAGAACTATGATTAAAAAAATAGTTTTTTTTTTTTTGCTAAACGCTAGATTGCCCATCAATATATCAGGTTGCCATCAACACTGGTTGTTTACTTTACAAGGCAAGCCATAAGCCAGGCCACCTGTAAAGGTATCGCTGACATGCTAACCGAGGCAGGATACAGTTTATTTCATAAGCTGTAAGCCATACGCTGTATTACAAACTCAGAGAAGCCTTTATTTTATCATTTTTATAATAATAACAACCTATAATTTTTTTTATAAAGTGCAGTTATTTTTCTTGTAGTTTTGACATGTTGCAGTCCTTAAACTATATTGCCCAACATGCACATAGTTAATAACTTATCATTGTACATTTACCGGTATGTCTTTTGATAATACAAATCATAACTAAACTACAGTAAAAAAGTGGCTTTTTATGGCCAATTAGAGCATATAAAGACAAACTGTACGCACAAACACAAAAGAATATTGTCAACTTTTACCTCATAGTCTATCGTGTTAGTTACCTGACAAATGTTTGTGTGTGTGTTTTCAGGGTAAAACCTTCAGTATCTGGAAGTTGAGTGACCTGCGGGACTGTTCCATGACGGTTTCCTTCTTCCTGTTCGGGGACGTCCACAAGAACCACTGGAAGAACGACGAGGGCACGGTTTTAGGCCTGTGCAACCCCAGCATCATGAAGGCAAGGGACAAGGTGAGAGGGACATGTAATATTGTTCAGACATTAAAACAAAGATGGCAGTTGTGGTCACCTTGGAAAAGGCGGCTGTGTAAACACTAGTTTGAAAGTGGCACCATCTAAGGCTTGCCACAATGGCTTACCTCCTACAATCTGTACTGCAATCCATATCCCATGTTTATTATGTTAACCTTCAGTTGCAGAAGCAAAACATATAGTTTTTGCCCTGTTTCTTCTTATTCGGCTGTCACCATGGTAACTGGTGCTGTAGCAGACAACCGGTGGTGTTGGATCACATTATGTAGCAAGTAGGAAGGGCTGGTCACCATATATATGAATGTGATTGAGTAAGAATACACAGAGAAGTAATTTATTGAAGTAAACCATCCCCATAAAGGTAATACATTAATATGCAAATAGCATTTGCATTACAAGTGTTACCTTTCTAATTTTCCTCTGGATGATTTAATTTTTGCAGGGAGACACAGATGTAGCTCTGACTGTGGATAACCCTCTAAAAGTGATGGTGATGGGCAGGTCTAAGGACCTGGGCTACTGCAAGGCCACCAAGAAGGCGGGAGGGCAGTGTGAGAATTTCGTTAACAGGTCAGTACAATTGTACTAATTTTTCACATTGTACTCTCTTGTACATTGTGTTGTGTCTATATGTTTTACTTTGATTCTGAACCTTTGTTGTGGAGGGTGTGAGTTATACATGTGTTTTATACAGGGACCAATGTGAGTACTGTGAGTACCATGTCCACTCTCAGTACAAGAAGTCCAAGGCAAAGAGGGGAGAATTCAACTCAGTGTAAGTCACAATCTTTTCAGCTAGAATGGTTCAAAGATATCAAACATGTTGATTGCAGTGTACAATTATTGGACATACGGTTAACTTGAGTGTATATTGACAGTCATATCTTTTGTATTTTTGTGATGAAGACCTGTCTATGAACATTACACTTACTCTGCCTGTAGCATCGGGCCTCCGGATCCCAAAAAGAAAATGCTTCAAAAGATGATGGGCAAGAATGAGAGCTTCATGTATGGAGGACACACCTACACTACCAGCAGGTAATTATGTTTATCTTTGCAGAATGAAAACATTGTTTTTGCTATGTTTCTTCTTCTTCTTCTTCTCCAAAAAAAAGGTCAATGACCTTGACCGGAACTGTGTCACCATGGTAACTAGTGCTGTAGCAGACACCCTTTTGTATGGGATTACATTATGTAGCAAGTGGCAGGACAGAGCTGGAGGGTCTGGTCACCACTACAACATATATAATGTGTTATAAGGCCACACCAATTTAATTTCTTGGTTAACGGATTTTTCTAGAAAAATAATGGAGCGGGCGGGCGAAAAATAAATAAAAATAAAAACAGCCCTAGGCATCCTATTATGGCCCAAAATGGTACGATAGGAGCCATAAAGTCAACACACCAGGCTGGTTCAAAATTTAAACAATGAATTTTGATTTTGATTTGATTTTATTGATACCATTGCATTGAAAGATGGAACAACTGTAACAACTAGGATGGAAAGGACTGTTATCAACTGTTCAGGGCAAAAGATGAGCATTTTGCAGTTGATTCTGAATTTTTATTTTTATTTGCAAATCAGAAAAAAATGAAGCGGCGAATCCGTTAACCAAGAAATTAAATTTGTGTGGCCTAAAGTAAAAATAAAAAGAACAGTAGTTTGTTGGGCTAGACTGTCTCTATGTTAAGGTAAAAATTTTGCATTTGCATATTTCAAAGTTTTAATAAGATATGGGAGTATGTATTTGTTCAGGCCTTTGAAAATTTGCTAGAACCTTAGTGAGAAGTTGAGTCCTACATAGTGTTTAACATACCTGTAATTGTCTTTGCTGTTCTTTAGCCCTGCTGCTACAGCCAATAAGAAGAAAACTCAGGTGAACTTGGACTTCCTCCGTGTGGCCGGGGCACGGTCCATGGACGCTGCTGTGAAAGCCAACATCGTGGGCAAGATGGAGAAGAAGAAAGATGAAGAGACGCTCAAGAAACTGGCAGCCCCTTCCCAGGCAATGTAATAATCTGCATTACTCAAGTCTAATGTCTTATTGAAATTTGGTCATGTATGCAATTTTCATCTGTCATGAAAGTTCATCTGTGTTGTTTGTTACAATTTAAGTCACTCCGGTCTTCTTCAATAGACTGACCCAGTGAGACTTGTCATGTGGCTTCTTTGAAGTGTGACATCAACAAGCACGTCGGCAGAACGTACTGCGCCTGCGCAGAACCCCATATTTTTGCGTTTTTCGTTGGGTCAACGTTGCATCAGAATTTTCCTGTTGCAGAGCATATTCTTTCCGACACAACATTTGGAAACTACTGTCGAAATGGTAACCTTATATGAGCGAATACAACTTTATATGAGACATTCTGCCGAAGTGCTATGTACAATACATTACGGGTTTCGAGCAGGTGCAGTACGTTCTTCCGACGTGCTACATCAACACTGGGTCAAAGGTACAATGTATCTGGCAAACGATATCGGCCCCCGTCACAGTTGAGTGATGGGCCCTGATGTAAATCACTGGATCATTCTATTGAAGAAGACCAGAGTAACTGGTTGAAAGCTCTAGTTGAGAACAATTCTTTGTGTTGGTACAAAAGCAAATCTTCATCTGTATTAATCAGCCTACATTATGCCTTTTGTAGTAACCCAACAGCCTTGCAGACTGATGCCAGCTGTAAGCTACCTTATATCTAGTAACTCTTACACCTCAGCCCTGGGTGTCTAAGTTTAGGTGTCTCTGAAAGCTATGAATCCTTTTGAGTCGAGAGTTTTGACACTTTGATCCACACTGAGTATACTTCCATCCACAGGCAGGAGTTGCTGTGTGCTCCCACGGTGGGCTCCATGAACCTGATCAAACATCTCGGCACAGAGGAGAAGAAAGGTGGGCGATTAGAAATGATGTTAGATTATAGTTCTGTTTTCACAATTGTGATATTGTTGTATTTGCTTCAATTTGTATGTTTCAGAGTGGCTGTTTCATCAGTTATATACTGTTGATTCTTGATTTCTTGCAGTACTTTTATGTTAATTGTTTTCACGATCACTTCTGTATCATAAAGTTATCATTACGGTTATCAAATCAAGGTAACTTACAGTACGCCTGTAGAGGCACTTTCCTTGGTGCTGAATTGCTTATATAGTTGCTGTCCTTAGTGCTGGATTGCTGATCTTATTGGGCAATCTGTTGTAGGAGTAATAGTCCTTTCAAAAGTAATGGGGTCCTTTTGGACCAATGTGAAATATATGGCCAATTCATTGGGGCACTTTCAATGCTATAACGGGTGCTGTGTTTTCCTATCAAGCAAGTTTAAACTGTAATTTCCAACACAAGAAATTGGACTTACCCAAATTTTGTCAGGTCCAATCTTTGTCAAGGAATGTATTTTCGAAAGTTTGGCTAAGTACAGTGTCATGTGTTGAAAATTTACAGTATAAACTTGCTTCACAATGATTTCAATCAACTCAAATGAACTGTGTTTTTTCCTCCTGCAGCTCAGCCCAAGGTGAAGCCGGTGTCGGCATCAGAGCTGCTGAAGAGTCACAAACAGGAGATGTTGGAGATGAGGAAGAAACAACAGGCTAACAGACAGCCTTCACAAGCACAGGTGATGTGTAACATTTGCAACTACTACTATTCACATCATTTAAGAAAAACTATGCTCAAAAATGATACATGTACTTGAGTTGTAAAAAAAAAATTCTGTCAAAAGACCCAAACATGTGCTATAAAAACTGGTAAATAGATTATCAATGTTTGAAAGGGTACAATGGCTGCAACTTAACAAATGAACTCTGGTTACAAATGATGTGTTGACAGAAATAAGCTAGTCATTCTATTGATAACGAGTAGCCCATTATAATAGTATTGCTTTCTGACTACCAGGCTAGTGCTGCCGGGTCCAGTCCTGAGACGTTTTATCCTAAGCTGGGAAAAGGACTCGCCAACTCAGGAGACATCGTGATGTTTGACAGTCCATCACAGAAAGTGTCCTCCTCTCAAAAAGCAATGGTAAGCTAGTCTTCTTTACTTCTTGGGTTTTCCAGCAGAATTTTTTTCTAAATTTTAGACGTCATTCTGCATTTTTCAAGATGGTAAAAGAAAAATTACACAATCTGTAATTTTTTGTATTATAGGTTGAGAAGTCGTAGTATAGAGGCTTGTGTATTTGCAGAATATTGAAAAAAGTATTTCTGCCACTTAGATATGCTTTTTTATGAAGAAGTGTACTCTCATTTTTCACCCGTTTAACTACAGCAACGTGCAATAGCCAAGATCAAAGTCAAGGGCCCCTTGACCCCAGATAACCCCAATGCTGTGAAAAAGAAGGTGTCACCAAAGGCTCAAGAAGCTATCAAGTCTAAAGTAGAGGAGGCCAGCACAAGCCAAGGTAACAAAATAAAACTTAGATATTTCCTCACATTGCATATGACATTTGAGATGTCCTGTGTCAAGTTTCCATAATTTTGTTTTATAAGATTACCAGTAAGACTGAGTTTCACTTTTTTTATAAATCCTTTAAAGTCAATATTTTTTGTTCCTACTAGGAGACACTTCTTCACCTCCTGAAGAAGACAAGAGGAAAGCCAAGCTGTTTGGTGAGAAGATGGACAAGAACTCAGAGGAATACAAGAAGCTGGTCCAAGCAAAGTCCTCTCATTCTGGAGCACTGTCTGAGGTCTAATTTTATAACCTTTTCTTACTGCACTGACACTCATCATACACTTCTTTGGCAATACATCTAGAATAGTAGATTGAATGTACATGTAGGTGTTTCTTGTTGTTTTTGAGATTTGAAAAAAATGGACAACCGGTATTTGTTGCAGACTATATGTACTGTAGTAATATAATGACGTTTTCTTGTCTCCCTCAGGCCCAGTTAGAGATGCAGGAGAAGTATTTTGCTGAGCTGGAGAAGAAGGAGAAAATGGAAGACAAGATGGCCACCATCTCATACGTGAAGTGCAAAATTGTCAGCTGCAAGAAGGTCAGCAGAATTTCAGACACTTTACCTTTCTTTACTTGGTTATCAATCTGTCAAACATTTCGATGTTTTTTAGATTCATAGCTGTTGCTCTAGTTATTTTGCACGTTATAATGTAGAATGTTTCTCTATGACCAGTAGTTCTGCCATGGACAAACATGTTATGTCTACTACCATAATTCTGGCATGTCACATACTGGAAATCATTTTTTTTCACAGTACTTCTATATTCACGGTTTTAACGGTCACATCTGTACTGCAAACGTATAACCGTGAACAAATAATTCGCTTCCTTTTTTCCTGCACTTGTTGCCACCGCAAGTATATGGTTCCAAACATGTCCAACTTTCTCAAACCGCAAACTTTTGATACCGCGAACTTTTGATACTGCAAACATAAAGTGATTTACATTCAATATCACCATCAGAAATCGATCTCCAATGCAATGTCAACCACTAAAATGCATTCTGAAATACCTAAAGTGTGGATACCTGGGACTTCCTGCACTTGATATCTCTCTTAACACACAGTTTTTTTAAATAGCGTGTACATGTACAATGTAACCTAGAAAATAAATGTTTACGGAGGTTAACTTTTCTTGTTTTTCACATCTTATTCAGTGCAAGTACACCTACTTCAGCCCGTCTGAGACCTGTAAGACAGAGAACCACCCCCTGGTGTGGCACGAAGGAGTCAAACGTTTCTTCAAGTGTATGAACTGCAGCAAACGCTGCATCTCTCTGCAGAGATACCCCAAGGTGGCCTGCAAGTATGTGCCAAAATTTTATTATGTTTACCAAAGGTTGCTCAGTTTCCTCTTCTCCAAACACAATAGGTCAATGACCTGAACCAGACAGCAGTGACCATGGTAACTGGTGTTGGGTTACACCATGTTGCAATATAATAGCAGGAGGGATTAAGACACCTGTCACCATTTAGGTCACCAAGGTGACCATTTATTATAGACCCACATCGTTATTACACTCATTCAGTTATTCCCATTTTTGCATCCAGCCAACTTTTTTAAAAATCATTTCTTGTTTTGTTGTTCTTTTGTAGTTGGTCCCCTCTTCTTGTATAATTATCGATTATAAGTATCGTCAGATATAACCTTAAATTGCAGGACTAGAATGTAAACATTGACTAAAACATATTTTTTGTCATCATTTTTTACAGAAACTGTGGAAGTTCCAAGTTTGAGAGGACAACCATGTTGGCAGTAAGAGCTTTTTCTTGTTTCACCTTCATGACTATACTTCTGACATTTGCTTTGCTTCCATCAATCCATTCCTAATTTTACAAAAGTAATTTCCAACAACTGTTTCTGCCATTACAGGACAAGAAAGGCCCCAAGCTGGACTCGGAGACGCTAAATTTACGGGGGGAGGATGAAATGTTCCTCAACAAGCTCTAGTTATGCTGGGATGGATGAAGAAGACTTAAAGCATTGAGATACGATTATCAAAAGTATAGCAAGCAAACAACATCAGTATGTAACTAGGATGCCAGTTGTATGCAGGGGAGTACAAGACAAAACTTCTCAACTTTCACAGTATGAAAGTTGCCCAATGCTAAGAATGGCTGGAAACAAAACACTAGGAATTTTAGGGCACTTTTAGATTTCTATATAGTGGAGACACAAAGTAACGTTAATTGCCATACTGTAATAAAGGGTTAACTTGGCACTTTTATTACATGATATGTCATTTTAGACAAACTATTGTCCATATGGAAAAGATAGCATCAGGCCTCCCTGAAAATACCTGTTTTTGTCCAGGTGATTAAGTAGGAAATGCGATTAATGATATAAATGTTTCATCTGAACACTTTCCAGTGGCATGGAACAGTGCTTTTATTGTTTTTAATAAGTGATGGAAATCTTTTTTTTACTCCTGATGATTCTTTATAACATATTTCAATGTTTGAAGAGTAGAGTGAACTGTAGAATTTTATGTAGCTTCAGGATTATGATTATTATAGGAATGTGAAAAGTTTAGCTTGTAAAGACTTCTAGTCAGAAAAATTATAGACTTTGGGTCTTTCATAGACCCATGATGATACATGGTGATATTGCGATGTGTATGAGTTGTTTACACTACATTTGTAAGCAGCATATATTTGAAGATCTTATCAATAAAAGTTGCATGAGAAACTTATTATGGTCTGTCCTTAGTGCTGAAATGGGCATCTTTAGCCCATATACAGTGTTAAGTGCTTTTATTTGATTTTCAGGACTAAATCAGTATTTTGGAGGACTGGCTGCTATTTATATGTACCCTCTATATTGTAGTATCTTGGGTGTTATTTTATTCCTCAAGAGCTCTATGTAATGCATGCATTACATGTAAGTTATCTGAAATTTTAGTAACATTCAGTGACAAACAAAATGCATTCATTGAATCTTTGCCTGTTCCTCAAAGCTTAGAGGAATCATGCTTGGGAACCCACAAATTAGTTGTGATTAGCCAAAGACAAAAATTTCGCACACATTTTTCAAACTCTGCACAAAATAAGAGACTAGGCTTGGTTCAACTTCAAGATGATGTGTTCAGCCATTGTAAACGTCCCTCCCCATTTTCAAGTGGAACAGCCCGGAAAGTTTGACGTCATGACAACAAAGATGGCTGACGAAAGGAAAAATTGTTTTCGTCTTTGGTTCTCGGTCCAGCGGCTTGATTTGTGCGATGATAGCCCCGTTTCTCCGCCTCTGGAAGTCTTCATCCCGAAGGATGCAGACTCGCACGTCGTTCGGACGATTTTGAGGGAAAACTTTGAGCTGAATCAGCCGGATTTGGTGATAAAGTTGCGGAACAACAGGTACGTGTATAACGGTACCCACGAATTCCATTTTCCATACGCCCTCCTCATAAAAATTATTTTTAGTCGCAGAAAGCACCCATTTGGCATGGAAATTTACCTCAATGATCTACTGGACATGGAGATGTTTTAACGCATAACTTGGGAGTGTTCAGAATACCACCGCGATCTCTGTCAGAAAGTGAGGTCTGGGCTGACACGAGGAATTTGCCTTCTGGAACAAATTATTGGGCTGCTACAAAAATAGCCTGGGGGCTAGCCGTGGACGACTCTGGTACACCTTTTTGCATGATACCGGCATTATCATGCAAAAAGGTGTACCAGAGTCGTCCACGGCTACCTGGGGGCCAGACCCACAGTACACTAGGTCCAAATCCTGTGTGCACAGGGATAACTTTGAAACTTTGAAAAACGGTGGTGGGGGGAGGGGGGGTGAAGGGGCTAAAAATCAACTTTTGATCCTACCCTGGTTCCAACCCTCTTTAATAAGTCCCTTGTCCACATAAAATTTTGCTCAAACTCGCCTTTGTACATGTAGTTCCTTAATTAAGTCCAGATTTGCTCAAACCCTTCCTAGTTCCTTCCATATTAGCTCAAAGTCAAACTCCCCCCTAATCCAATCCAGCCTCATTCACCCCCTTCTACAATTACTTTTTGTGGAACAACTGACTAATTTTGCAATAATATCAGATTATTATCTGGCTATAGTCCATTGTAGGTCATTAGCCCCGTAAGGTAAGGTATACTATTGTGTTTCTCTCCTAACAGAGGATCTCTCATCCCCATCAACCGCGAGATCCCGCCCAACTCCAAACACCGTCCGTACGCGCTGGAGGTGTGTCGCCGGTACCAGCACGTGTCCGCCGAGCCGCGCTCAGTCGTCATGCCCAGCTACTACCACACCGTCCGCGCCAGGCTGCAGCAGCTGGGGGGCAGGATAGACCGGCTGGAGCACATCGCACCCGAGCTCAGAATCAGGTGGGACAATAGTGTTGTCCACTGGACTGATATCCCTAATGTTTTCTTAAAGGCATCCAATGCAATTTCAGGGTAGAAAACTGGATATTTAAAGTCAATTTCTTGGTCATTTTTTTAGCATAATAAGTTGAATCAATCCTATCCAATGGCTTACCGATATCTGTGAGGCAAAAATGCAATATCATTGATGGTAAACAGTTTCCTGCTGTACCTAAGAATAATGAGACATCTCCTGTAGCTGTTTTGGGGCTATTGATTCAAATGATTCAAGTATAAAATGATCACCATAATGTGCTAAGAAATGGCAGTAAATGCTAGTATCAGACAGATTTCACATGATTGACACATAAAGAAACTTTTAAGATGGACTGGTCTTTAATCGCTGAGTCATGTATTGAAGTTCATTTGAAGTTTCATTGTATGCATGCTAAAACATATATTAATTGTGATGCTTATTTCATCATCATGCTAACTTGATTACATAATAACAGTAAACACCCTAATACTAGGTACCCAGGGACATTGCAGCATATTATTTCAATCTTGACTGAAGGAGGAATATCTAAAGAAAACTTCTTTTCTGCACCTTCAGGAGGACTGCCCGTCTGGAGGCTGAGATGGACGAGCTGGACCAGAAGTTACGTTTCCTGAACACCAGACTACAGGAGGCGGAGAGGTACCAGTGGCAGGGCATGTTCAAAAGACATCCGCTGTGGTGACATCTACACTGGATGGAGAGAAAACTTCACCAAGGGAGGGACCACATGTTGGAAGAAAGAGGGAAGCGTACCAAGCATCTCAAATGTGCACATAGACAAGAGCATGAACAAGGCTGTTTGCCATGGAACCTGGAGCAACCAAATGTTTCCTGGCAAAACAGCCGTGCAAAGTTAATGTGAAATCCAGGATTGCAGAGGAGCTGAATGCAGAGCACCAGAAAAGACAAAAAATCTGACCGACCATCACATATCCCTGCATCATCATTTCTTCTGGTTTTGCTCATAGAAAATACCTTATATAAATTGCTTTAAAAACAGTATTATTTGTACTAGTATGTAAGTGCACGTCTATTCATTCACGAACAAAAATATAGTATGTAGGCCATAGGTCAGCCAATATTCATTTGCTGTTTCTAAAACAATTATATGGTAGAATACATTGGTTTTCAAAGGATTCTTTGCCTTTTCCTCTTTTATCTATTCTTACAATACCAAGAGCTCACTATCCTCAGTTTCTGTGGATGCTATATTTTGATGGCTACTACATTGTACATGTTTTTTGTACAGGAACTGTCAAACCAGATGGCAAGCTTTCCATAGTTTGGTACAAGTTAGAAACACATAGACAAAACATTTGTGAAGATTTCATATTCCACAAAGAGTAGCACTCAGTGACTCACAGTATTAAAGATGTGCAAGTCATCATCAGTATTGGTAGTACATTCATGTACAAGCAACATCTGCTGTACTTTGTAAGTGTAACGTATGTGGAGCCTGGTACATGTGTATGTGCCATGTGAAAAGAAGTACCTCTGGTGGCATTCCATCACACGCATCATTTATGTGTAGTTTTAGATCAAACTCTATAAGAACTATCACTCTTTTTTATTACATCTTGTACATGAATATCATTTTAACTTTTTTGAAGGCTTATGCAAATTATCAGTAGGTAAATCGCCCAACTGTGCCATGTGAACTGTGCCGCTTTTTGCCCACCACTTGCTGGCTGTGACATCATGGTCATTGCTCATATACAAATGTACAATGTGGACCAATCAGAGGTATTTTACCTAGACTAATATGTACATGTAGTGTGATAAATGTGTAAAAAATACCATATAGGAGCAAGGAGGGTTTTTAAACCGCCTTGATAGGAGAAACAAGACATTTTATATTGGCCCTTGACAGTACATGTAAATCTTGTATGCCCGCTGTATATCGTCTATTTTTGTGTCAAGCTCATTCTCATATATATGTTATGTATTGTATACATATGTTATGTATTGTATGATAGACTGATAGTAGATTATAAGTTAGGTAAAAACCATTAAACAAGTTCATCAAGATTGAATGAATGTCAGAATCTTTGTGTGATACAGGAGTATTGGTGAATAAGTGTAAAGAAGCAAAACATATACGAATCTGATCAGGATCCTTTCCGAATCTGATCAGGATCATTTCCGAATCTGATCAGGAACCTTTCCGAATCTGATCATTATCATTTCCAAATCTGATCAGGATCCTTTCCGAATCTGATCAGGATCCTGTCCGAATCTGATCAGGATCCTTTCCGAATCTGATCAGGATCCTTTCCGAATCTGATCAGGATCCTGTCCGAATCTGATCAGGATCCTTTCCGAATCTGATCAGGATCCTTTCTGAATCTGATCAGGATCCTTTCCGAAGGCTGATCAGGATCCTTTCCGAATCTGATTCGAATCCTTAATTTCCGAATCTGGTCAGAATCTGATCCGAATCTAATCCGAACCTGATATGAACTCGCGATTGTGGGAATGACAGAGGCTTCCTTCGCGATAGCCTGGTATCCAGTCCGATCGTGATTGGGGGTATTGGGGTGTTTAGGCAGGCCGATATACTCCTCTGCGGGCGAAGTACCCTGGCTGCCGAAAAAAACGGTTAGCGGCCTGTAAACTTGGCTGGCACCCAGGGTACACGATTCGTGGAGGGCTAATTAATCTCTCGTGAAATACACACCGGGAAGCTTATGTGAGGCGGGCGGGCCAGAGCTCTTGCGGCCCCGACCACGAATCAGACTGGATACCAGGCTACCTTCGCGAGATATGGCGCTTTTAGAAACGGAGCTTCCAAAACGGTGGTGTGATACGGGATATGAATATCCATTTTTAGAAAAATAAAACTTTTGAGTACTTGATACTGTGGTCTGGTGTAAAGTTCTCATTATACAATCAAAACCAAAGACCACAGAGTTCACCCGACACTCCAAAGTAAAGATTTATGTTTACCGTTTCTGGTAGCACTTCTTAAGAACTGCCATTCAAACATCGACTTAAAACTTAGAAAGAACCTATCTTGCTTATAACCTATCATAGTCAAGAAACGAAAGTTTTAAGTCGATGTTTGAATGGCAGTTCTTAAGAAGTGCCACCAGAAACGGTAAACATAAATCCTTACTTTGGAGTGTCGGTTGAACATGTGGTCTTTGGTTTTGAGTGTACATGTATAATGATAACTGTACACAGTATTAAGTAAGTGGTCGAACTTTCCGCTGAGCCTGTTTGGCATATAACTGGGTCAGGCGGAGCAGCTATCTTCTGCAGCCCCGAAGAAAATCTAGCCTCCACCAGGCCTTTCTATGGGATCGTAGAATTCGACAAACAAAAGAGAGTAAAATTGGCCAAGGGAGTCCGGACGCGGAAGGTTGGTTCTTTCAAGGACATTATGTGTATAATGTCCTTTGTTCTTTCCTCTGCGCGGTCAGTCAAAACCCAAGGCGGTCAAACTCCCCTGGCAAATTTTCTCCTATATATAGCCAGCGTAGTTAAAACCCGCGACAGCCTGGACACCAGGCTATCATTAATTATTAGTCTGACCACATTCCAGATCCCATCGGGATCCCATTTAGATCCCAGACCCAGTTTTGGAGACAACAATAGCCAGGCTATTATTTATCTATCAGTCTGACCCCATTCCAGATGCCAATGTGGGTTGTCTTCGAAACTAGGTCCGGGATCCCACTGGGATCCCAGCCACGTCCGACCCAGTTCCGAAGACAATCCCAGTGAAATCTGACACATTTCCTGATAACATCCCAGGGCGACCTGGTGTACATGTACATGTGGAGGGCATCCTGTCCGATATAAAAGACGGCCAAAGTTCTCCAAGTGGTCAGTTCGTGAAAAGTGGAGTCCAGACATAAGTGGTCATAAGTTCGTTCGTACACTGCGGTCCTTTGTCAACGGCTGATACTTGAAGTAGGTTTTGTTTATACAAATGTGATACATGCATACACATTTACCGTAAATGACATTACGTCTATACTAGTATGTAACTGCTTTGTACTTCGAGTCTAGACGTGACTCCTTATATACTTTTAGTCCGGCTGAAGTATGTGGTGTTTAGTTTTGAATGTATTCAATCATGTAAGAAGCTGTATACAAGAACACAGTACCCAGTGGTCGAAGTTTACACTTGGCATAGTCGTGGAGTTTAAGAGTACATGTAGAAACTTTGGAGTCTTACGCACAGAAAATGCCCTTGGACTATAAGATAGGTTATCCTACGAACTGATTTGGTAGAATCAACATGTGTGGGCCAAAACGTACTACAGCATTGCTAGTATTAATAAAATAACCGATGCTAGGCTACGCAAAGAATTAAAACAAGTCGTCCAGGCAGCCATTTGTTTTGTTCCGCCCGGTGCATCATGGGTATTATACCTGTGCGCAGGTGTCAACAAAAAGGTATAACTGACTCAGGGGGAATTCCGACCTATTAAGGGACAGCACAGGAAGTACTTCTAGTACTCACAAGACGAGTGTGCCAAAAGGTGCAGTAGATTTCTTTCTAAATTAATTTCGTCCATTTAAAACCTTACGTTCGGGCTTGTCATGTGTCTATCGTTGTGATAGAAAAACAGTCGAAGTCTATACGTTACTTCCGGGTTTTCGTCTAACTTAACCCTGACCGCCTGGTAGTGAAAAAAGGTCGTCCGACTTATACTCTGCGTCTTACGATGTTCTAGGAAGACAAGAATGGAGGAAAGGCACAAGAAAATCATAAAGAAGAAGTACAAAGACCTTACCAAGGATCTTAGACCAGACGAAGTCATGGATCATCTAATACAAGAGGATATCTTCGACTTTAATGACCTTGAACAGGTGAGAGCAGAAAAAGTGAACAAGTTACAAGTAGAGAAACTGTTGAGTATCCTCTTCACACGAGGTCCTAATGCCTTCCGTGTATTTCTGGAATCGCTGGAAGAGCGTTACCCTTGGTTGTACAAGGATCTCAAGACAGCAGACGAGGAGTCGGCAACGAAACAACCACTACAACAACCACAACCAGAACAACAATCACAACCAAAAGAGGACGAAACCACGACCAGCTCCAGCGAGGCCAGGCACCCCGAACAAGAGACGACGAGACCATCGTCCGACCAACTAGTAACGCCAGAGGACGAAACGTGCCTAAAGCGGCCGCTGCCTCAGACAGGTACACAGACAAGAGAGAAAGCGGTAGTACAGAGGGCTGGCAGTGGGTTTGGATCTCCATTGACAGGTAGGACTTAACTAGAATTGTTTGTTTGTTTGTTTGTTTGTTTGTTTGTTTTAGAATAGTATCTACCATGTTTCTCTTTCCCCGTTTATATATTACATATTCTCTCCCTGTCACATATAGATACATAGTAGTTTTAAGTAGAGATAAAAAGTTAGTACACATGTAGAACGTAGAACCTCATGTTAGCATATGGTTTTATACCATTCCTCAATACATTCTGTACTCCCTGTCCTTGTCAATGTCAGTTTGGAATTTGCCCTCGGGCATGAACTTGCAATAAAGAACGTACATATCAGTCTAACAAATAGATAAATAAGAACATAAACCACTGAATATTGACAAAAATGATATTGAAGTACATGTATAAATCATTTTCAAAGTGATGTACATTTCTAGAATTCCCAATGCAATGCTTCAGAAAAATGTTGTTTGAAAACTATGAATCGTTGAAAAATCTCCATCCTGCAACCATATGCAGATGAAGAAAAGGTCGCTCAGGAGATGGCAAAATTGCAAGTCAACAACCGTCGGCAGTACATGACGGTCCCACCTGAGGTCAGCAGCAGGCGAGTCACGGAGAAACAACTCAACACGCTGGCTGGGAAGTTTGGTGAGTTGTCGAGGTTTTGTGACGCGTTCACTGTAGCATGAAAGTAAATATAACAGTCTGTATAATGTGACAGTGTACCTGTGTACATTGCACCCAATATTGGGCTACACACATCAAGTATAGTACGTATTGCTACTAACAATGCACGAGTTCAGACAGTGCTACCAGAAGACAATTGTTAGCTTGCAGAAACCCTGATTCTTTATCAGGGTTTGAATTACATGTACTATACTGTCGTAGCACATTTTTGCCTGCCTGTGCTAAGTCCTGGTCATGATACCCAGGCTAAGTCCAGGTCATGACAAAACATGATGAACAGTCAACAGATACTGTAAAACAATACTAACGTTGAGGTCTTGTTGAATGTCATACCTAGTTTGCCCGGAGTAAGTAATACAGTGTAATGACAAAGTATCTCTGTGTTTATCCAGGTTCTGAGTGGGAGAACCTGGCCATACACCTGGACCTGACGAAGGCAGACGTGGACAGGTACAAGGCAGACAACCCCTACAACGCCAGGTCACAGATATTCTCCATGCTGATGGGCTGGAGGGCCAGGAAAGGCTCGGGAGCGACCGTGGGAGCGCTGGTCCGCAATCTGGAGGACTTTGGCGTAGCACTGGACACGTTTGAGTTCTTAATTCAGAAAAGCTAGATCAGGCCAGTGTTGTGATTTCTGATCCACAAGAAGGCCTAGATCTAGATCTAGTTCTTAACGCATGAAAGCTAGATCCCTCAATCTTCTGAATATCGCATTCACCAAAAGATCTAGTTTTTAACTCAGAAAAGCCAGGTTAGTGTTGTGGATCTTGATCCACAAGGAGATCTAGATTAAGAAAGAGAGAAAGAAAGAAAGAGAGAGAGATGATGTGCCTTTCTAATTTCCTGAACAAATGATGTCGCCATGAATTGTTACACCTTAGAGTTTTCTTTTTCTTTGAACGAACAACAACAGCAATACGTTTCCTTAGATATGTACATTTTAGTCATAGTTTCTTATTGATTCATGTTGGAAAATAACCAGCATGTCAAAGGCGCTAGATAAATAAACGTTGATGAAGAATATTGTAAAGAAATATCATATGTATTTTGCAATTGGAAAGCAAAATGAAGAGTACATGTAACGTTACTTATAATCATGAAATTGAAATCACGATATTGCAAGTTTCTACAATATGTAAGATCTGTGTGTAAGCCAAAGCCCAAAAAATGTCTCAGAATCATGAGATTGCATACAACTAGCAGTAAGAACCAAAACATCATTTACCATGATTTGTGGCATTGCAGTGTATACATATATAAACGATATGAATGAACAGTCGAACACGGATGCAAATTATGCCTAATTGTGAGTTAGGTTTCAATCACTGCTTGTTGGAGTTTCTTAGTTCAACGCTGAGAGCTAAGGGTTACTTGCCTTGTTCATAGATTAAAGATAAAAAGGGCCTTTACTTTTCGTATTGTTTCGTATTTCGTATCTTATGACGATTTAAGTAATTTCTCGTGATCTTTTAATTAACTGTGAGACCTCGATGTGCCTGTATCCAGACACTGTCCCAGAGCTTACCTGTGTAAGAGGTCAAGAAAACAACCTAATACGTTACCTTTCACCTTTTGTAAACAAAACAAAACAGCCCCTCAGGTGACCCGGAGGTCACTTCCTACTGCTACCAGGTGTTTACTACCGGTAAACAAATAGCATAAGCCGTCGAAACGGTCGGGGAAAAAACAGTCGTGTCAAAGAAAAACCTAGCACCCACATCATATATATCAATGTTCCTCTCAAATACATCGATTTGCCTTAACACATCAAGTAACACTTTTGAAGCATGTTATTCATTAACTCGGGCGGTTTGTCTGCAAGAATAAATGTCCAGAAAAAGTTACTAAGTCAGGTACTAGTACATATAGCAGAATTTCATGCACAAGTTTTGGCGATTGTCCAAACCATGAATATTTGTTGGAAATTATCAAGTCTGGTATCGCAACTGGGACCTTTCTAGTACTCTTTCTTACACAAGGCAATATGCCTGTACAACGAGTCCTTGCAGTAAGGACTTTCAGGACTCTCTGGACTTTATTTCAGTGCCCATGTCATGATGTGTGGCTTTGTAACATGATTGTTTGCGTGTTTGTATATGTATATGTATTGTAATGTTAATGTGCATTTTGTATTTACTATTTTCTATGTACAAAATTGTAAAAATCAGTGTTATTCAGCTTGGTTGACATGTGAACTGGCTGCAAGGCTGATTTTATTAATAAAACTTGAACTTGAAACTAGATCGTACGGTAATTTGAGCATTGGTTGTGGGGTAGAATACTTCCGGGTTTGGGTTGGTAGAGGGGCGGACATTTTGGTACAGATCTCAGTGGGTACAGTCCGTACACCTGTGCAGTTAATACCTACAGAGCTGCCCTGGTACGAGGACTATGTCGTCCCAAATTTCTGCCCGTTTCCTACTGTACCACAAGATATCTCAATACCTGGTTGTGAGCGATGTTAGGAGCCTCCGAGCCATGCTCGCTACTGACAACAAGTTAGAGCGAGCCAGACTCGGGAAGGCCGCCGGTGCTCACGAAATTTTTATCAAGTTGGAGGAGGCCGGTGAGATTGGCAGGGGTAACCTCGGTCTTCTGATCAAGCTGCTGACAACTCTAGGACATAGAAGGTTGGCTGAGGAAGCAAGGAAAGTCGAGGAAGAAGAAAAGAAAGATCTTCAAAGTGAAAATAAAAGAAGTAAGTGTGGTTAATAGACAGTTTAATAGACAGTAGCGCCCACTGAAAATCCACGTTACTTGCTTGTAGTTTTCTTGCCATGCTGGTATCCCCTTGAATCCGTCACCAAATAATTAACGTTACGGTCATACTCGCACCTTCTCAGCATCATACAGAACAACATGTTTGCCATGTAGTAACAGACAAACCATGTTACGGAATAGAGTTTCACAAAGTGTGCTTTATTATCGCTTGTGATTATTAGAGAAAGACGACGTGGTCGACAGTTTGAGGAGACTGAAGGTCCGACGTGAAGCAGACAAGACCAGCAGCCGTGTGACAGAGCAGCAACTCTACAAATTGGCGGGAAACTTAGGTGGGTCACAGGGCCAGTATGACTAACAATATTATACTTGACGTTCTGACGTTACAGTCCGCCATGTGGAGGTAGATAGCCTCATTGTCATGTCTTCAGAGAAGTAGATATTTTGGGATGATAAGATACTGTTTTTATCTAACAAGATACTGACACTAAGAAATTGTTCATTGTGGAACTTTGAGGCCGCAGAGCAAACCATGTATATATTACTTTTTTATCCCATGGCTTTGTTTTAATATGTTAGCATTGCTGCATACTCCATTGGTGAAATGACATATGTCTAATAATCTTCCTGGAGCCCTTTACATGTTCAAGTAAACTACAATCAACTGCATACTGTAAATAACTACAATTTCATACAATGGCAGCATAAATAACAATTCTCGTGACTACTTCCTCATAGCCGTGGAAGTGAGGAAAGTCGAGGAAGAAGAAGAGTGTATGTAAACAGTGTGCATGGTAACGCCTAGCAGTTTTTAAATTGAAGTAAATGCATATTTTAGAAACTATTCATAATCGCGTGGATCCGGAATTGGCCGTAGGTTAGTAGTCGTGCGGTAGAGCTGCTATAAGCAGATACTAGTTTTAGATGTATTTTGCGAGTACATGTATCTGTTAAGATTGTGATTTTGCACCTTCTACGGTATCTTATCAAATAAATGATATGTAGTGAATGAAAGATTTTGTATTAGGAAAGATGACTTTCTAGATGATCTTTTTAGATTAACGGTTGTTGATCTCGTGTAGCCTGTGTTTATACAAACCCTCGACCGGGGGTTTATGAATCCCACCCGTGGGGGGGGGGGGGCGGCAAACCCCGGACCGTTACCTGGCGTAATGTAAATACACAGGTGGGGCATTGTTACTTGGTGCGTGACGATCCGAGTAACGTTACACCAACTAAAGTCAAAGGTTATCCAGGTAGCCAGGTAACGGCCCGGGGCCTCAGAAGGGGAGGGGTACGGAGGGCCAAATGTTGCAAAATCACATAATATGTATGATACATATAACGTTACATGCATTTTACACATACAAATGGCCGCTTCGAACAGACACATGTATACTTCTCCGATGTAACGTTACATACACATACATTGCGCCACCGCTTCATTATATAATTATATAATACATGCATCATTTTACACATCAAATGGCTCTTCACACACACACCGTTATATACACCGCTTCACACACACACACACACACACACACACACACACACACACACACACATACACACACATCGTGACACACACACACACACACACACACACACACCGTTTGTTTGTTTGTTTGTTTATTGGTTCGCATGAATTTTAAACAATAAAATGAACATCTTACTGACAATAAAATAAAATGCTCGGGAAAGATATTAAGCCATATTGGCCTGTCCGCGATCTTCCCCGACAAAATTAATTAACAACTGTAATAGTGCTGACTACACAAATGGTAATAATAAATAACAATAAGCAAATAATGAATTTGATCAATATGATGAAAATAACAATGATAACAAAACAAAAAATAAAAATGAATAACAAAAGTAATTGATGAATAACGCTAATTAGAAAAGATATATTAAGACATAGGTTAACAGAGGTTTAACTGCAGCAGTATATACATAGGCAGAATTGAAGCAATAACTCAAGAAAATATACATGAATTTCAAATTGAAATCGTAAATAAGAAGAAACGGAAATTCAAACTTATACAGATGAAATCAAAGTGATAAGATATCAAATGTCGGTGGGAAAGGAAAGTAGGTGATTTTTAAGATTTCGTTTAAAGCTAATCATTGATGTTAAACATTTCAGGTGGAGCGGGAGATTATTCCAAGTAGTTATACATTTATATTTTACACTCATTTGGGCTACGGACGTTCTAACTAGGGGGATATGGAAATGGGCACTTTGTCGAGTTTGGTAAGTATGAAAATGGGAGTTAAGATTTAGAAGACCATTAAATGTGTCTGGAAGAGAACAGTTAAGGAATTTAAACGTAAATAGCGTCAGATGAAGTCTGTTTATATAAAAAATATTCAAAATCTTAAGTTTCGTAAACAAAGGTGCAGAATGTGCGTGGAAACTGGCGCCGGTGGCTGAACGAACAAATCTTTTTTGGAGTAATACTAGGGGCTGTAGTGTGGTTTTGTAGGCGCATCCCCAGACAATATTCCCGTATGTTAGATATGGGTAAATTAAACTATTGTATATGGTAATAATGGTTTTTTGAGTAAGAAGATGTTTAAGTTTTCCAATAATACCGATAGTTTTTAAATTTTTTTTGTCTAACATATTTATATGTGCTTTCCAGGTCAATCGATCATCAATTATTATACCTAAGAATTTGGCTTAACTCTCTTGAGAAAGGGGTACACTTTTTAAAAGGATTTTGGCGCTTCTGTTATAGGTTTTATTGCTATTACAGAAAATAAGGTAATATGTCTTCTTTACATTGATTGATAATTTATTTGACTCAAACCACGATATAACCTTTTTCAATTCTTCGTTAGCAGTTTTTACAAGCGTATCAAAATTCGAGTTTGAAAGAAAAAGATTTGAGTCATCTGCAAATAGGATAAAGAATATAATTGAGGATGCTTTTTCGAGGTCATTTATATAGATCAGAAAAAGTAGGGGTCCTAGTATCGAACCCTGTGGGACACCACATTCTATTATTTTAGGTTGTGATTTATTATCATTAAGAGTTATGTATTGTTGTCTATTGGATAGATAAGAGGAGAACCATATTATTGCGGAGTCACATATATCATATCGTTTTAGTTTATTAAGTAGAATGGAATGATTAACTGTATCGAAAGCTTTAGATGACACACACACACACACACACACACACACACACACACACTACTACTACTACTATATATATATATATATATATATATATATATATACTTTATTGACACAACAAAAAGTACAGCGACTTTTGTATGGTCTAAAACTACGGTAGTATACCTACCTTATAGAGTAACACATACTGACAATGGGCACCTAGGCTCACACACATCGTTATGAAAACACACTGGGTCTGACGTGCTGTCACGGTATCGACTGATCCGTCGTGACTGGATATTGGTCTGTCTGTCCTGCATTTGATTGTTCTGTATTTGACTGTTTCTGGTGATAATACATGTACCATGATAGTCCGATCCCTTTGAAGCATTGATAGTATTTGGGTTTCCAATATTTCAATCCAGAATTAAAAGGCATAGTTTCTGTCTACGTTCTGAGAGCAACGGTGCTTCCACCTTGTTACAGGTCCATGAAATGTCATGGAGGTTATATTTTCACTTGCGCTTGTCTGTTGGTCAACAAGATAACTCAAGAACGGCTGGGTGGATTGGTTCAGACGTGGTGTTTGGTAGGGTGTGGCGAAAACTGGAAATAATTATATTTTTGGCTGCGGGTGGAGGAGTGTATGTGTGAGCCTAGGTGCTTTAAAAATATTTAAAAATTACCACCATATGCAGATGAAGAAAAGGTCGCCCAGAAGATGGTAAAAATGCAACTCAACAACCGGCAATACATGAAGGTCCCTCCTGAAGTGGGCAACAAGCGCGTCACAGAGAAACAGCTTAACATGCAGACTATCATGTTACATTTGTAACGCGTTCAATGCAACATGATAGTGAATAGAGCGCTTTGGATAGAGTGACATTGTCACCGAGTAACATTGTACCTAATATTACCTAGAGAGAGTATTGTTATTAACTTTACACGAGCTTGGCCAGTGCACGAACTGTGAACTCGCACCCTGATTTTTTATAATGAATGATGACCTTTGTTGCTCATTTTTGCCACACTGGGCTAGGTACAAACATGCATATATGATGAACATTCAACAGATGTAAGACTAACGTTAAGGTCTTGGGGTAAGTAATGACTAAAAGTATCTCTGTGTTTATCCAGGGAGGGAGTGGGAGATGCTGGCCATATACCTGGGCATGACGACGGCAGACGTATTCAAGTACAAGGCAGACAACCCCCGCAACCCCAGGTCACAGATTTTCTCCATGCTGATGGACTGGAGGGCCAGGAAAGGGTCGGGTGCGACCGTGGGAGCACTGGTCCGCAATCTGGAGGAAGCTGGCGTCGATTTCGACACGTTTGAGTTCCTAACTCAGAAAAGTTAGTGTTGTGAATTCGGGATCTAGGAGATTTGGATCTAGAAAGAAAAACAAAGAAAGAGAGAGAGAGAGAGAGAGAGAGAGAGAGATGGCAGAAGGAGAAGGAGAAACATGAGGGAAAACAATACATTTCTCCCATACTATAGTATGGGTAATACACACATTGGAATCTAGCAGAAGTGTACTACCGTACATGTATGTCCATACTAACAGACAGACATGCCCTACCAGAAGTGTCACAATTCTCTCATTAATCCTGCAAATTAGGTCACGATTTTCACCATTAACATTAAAATCAAGTCTTCATTTTTTCATAGTTCATCCCTTCTTGACCAATCTTGCTTCAAATGTAAAACATTCCTGCAGTTCCGACGGAAATTGCTAGAGAACCTCACCCCAAACCTATGAAATTACTTTTAATTTACCTTTTCCCGAGAACAATGGTTATCTATCACCCGGTCTAGCGTTGCTATGACCACGCCCCCGATGAAGACCCTCAATCAATCTTCACATCTCTCAAACCAAACTAGCGTACATACTTACCATGCTGACAGGTATACTCATTCTTCTGCTACAGATGACACCGAGAGTGACGATTCGGACACAGAAAAATCTGATGTGGAGGATCTGGGTCGTCCTATAGATCCTCCTATTCGCCCAGGTAAAGAAACGTTTATTTCATTTTCCTTCAATCTCTTAGATTGTTGTCAGCAAAACAGACTTTTATGAGTTTAATCAATATAATATAATATGATATAATATAATATAATATAATATAATATAATATAATATAATATAATATAATATAATATAATATAATATAATATAATATAATATAATATAATATAATATAATATAATATAATATAATATAATATAATATAGTATAATATAATATAATATAATAACGACAACATTTAGTTTTGTAACTTTTTCTTATTTTTGTACATAAAATGAAGCAAATAAAACATCTACGATAACTATTTTAACTCAGCATCAGAGCCAATAGAAGTGGAATTGGGAGGCGCAGAGATGAAGGCGCTGTACGATCAAGCCTGTGAGCAGGGCACCCATCTAGTCTTCAACACCCTGCTGATGCTGGTGGGAAAGCACGGAAATGGCAAGAGCAGCTTGCATGACAGCTTACTGCAACTGGAGTTCAACGAACACAAGCCTAGCACTGATGGTATTATGATCACGCCATGTCTAATGACTGGGAAAGAGAAGTGGACTATCACCAAAGGTGCGTAGAGCATGAATGTGTCTCATTTGCTAACATTTCTAAAAGGAACAATGGCAATGAAGGAATAATATGGCAGTATATAAAACCGTCAAATTCGAGCAAAGACAAGTCGTCGACAAAGTACTACTACAACTTGTCGCCCTCTCACTCTTTGAGGTCGCGTTATAAACTTGAACTGTATTCATTGATTGTTTTTTTTATTTATCCAGGGGGTACATATCGCCACTAAGGCGTTTTTCAATGTGCCCTGCGGGCATACATAAATAAAATATACAAGAAAATAACAGATATAACAAAATGATAAGTCAAGTTATAAGTACAAATTAAAGTCAACTTAGTACAAATAAAAGTAAAATTGACCTATTAATGACTTACGGTACATAATTCCTCTTACAGATTATTTCGAAGTAAAAAGTCGACATAATCTGTTCAAGGGGCAAACAATCAACAATATTCTCACGCCCTCACGAAATTCTTATCCGGTTGATGTTAACGCCATCTTTGTGCATTGTCCAAATGTTTAGTTTTACAAACGTATTTACAATCAGCTTCGAATTCATTTAGAAATAGGGGACAAGAACGCAGACTTTCTTCATGCCCTCCGCACGGAGATGATCAAAAAGAGGAAGGAAATGGAAGAGATAGATCAGGTAGTGCCAGAGGAGGAGACAGAACAACCCGGCCTTGGACCGCACCCTCTCCAAACAGATCCTTCAACCAAAGGTAACTGTACAGTTTTAACACTGTTGAGTGTATATGTCGTCGTGATGAGTTCATTCATCCATCCAGGGCACATATATGAAGTCTCTTTCTATATCTCTGCATTTCCATTTCTCCTGAAAATTTCGTCTTATCGTCATATCAGCATACATGTGCATTTGTCTAAGGTATCTAATGGAGAGAGAGAGGAGGGGGGGGGAGAGAGAGAGAGAG